TAAAGGTAAACATAATCAAAGCGCTATTCCCGGTTTATGCTGTGTAAGTGTTCCCGATGCCGAGAAAGAAATTTACCGATTCCAAGCCCACTATCACAGGAGACTGCTAGATCAGAAAAACGTTGGCTTTTGCAGTTTAATCAAGTTTTCCTCTATTTTTCTCACGAGACGGATTGATTGCAGATGGCCTGGCCGTCTTTGAAGATGTCCTTCTTAAGTCATTCATGAACGATTATGTAAGCATGTGAGTATGCCAATTTTGTAAGATGCAGAAAACCATTCAAATCCTGTCTCTGCAATAGAATACGTATTATTACAAACCTCCCTGTTTTGTTAATTAATCTTAATTAATCTTACTGAAATGATCAAAGTCATTTCAGTAATCGCTCTCATTATCCCAGTTATACAGCCAACTGAAAATACTTAGTCACGTAGTATCCCCATTTCGAATGAACAGGTGCGTTGTCGGGGCTGTTTTCGGTTCCATATTGTCATTAAGCACAGAACATTATTGACGGAATTAGATTTAACTCCGTATTGAATAAACTGCGTCAATACAATCAGGTAAAGAAATTAGCTGAGAGTGTCACAGTCGACTTTCTTCTCCTTGATCAGAAGAACCAGCTCTAAAGGCAGGGTAAATATCAGATAAATAACTATTTTATCGGTAGTGTGCACTCGGTGCTTCATAGCAGTGCGGGCGCGGAAACTGGGACTTGTGCTTGAACGAGTTTAAAGGGACAGCGAACTTGTGAATTATGCAGCGCATTCTCTTCCTCCTCATTCACCTAAGACGGATGGCAATTTGGTCACAAATACCACGGGTTTGGTGGTCCTCAGTGCTAAACAACCCCTATACGCGTGCCACCCGCTCACGCCTGGCCCAGTGTTCACAGAAATAACCACGGGGGTATCGCTTTCGATTTAACTGAATAAATTCCCTAGAGGTCACACCAAGATGAGTCAGTTGTGGCGTGCATCTTCGGTCACTTGGAACCCTCTATAATCACTGATACGAGATTGTCTGAAAATGACTTGTGAGAAGTGGGTGTGCATCTATGCATGTCAAAAACTCCCATATTTGCTATGCATGGCCAACACAGTAGCGCGTACCATACCCAGGTCTTGCTCTCGTGTCGACTCGACGCAAGTCCTGCGTAAAATGTACAGATGTCTGATAACGTAAGGACGCAGACCGGTTACCTCTTGACCAAGACAAGGAGAAATGATGGAACAAGCAGTTAATTTCATGGAGGAATGAATGATCGTATGGAAGAAAACGCCGGGAAAACTGTAGGATTTTGTTCAGAAGGCACGTTCGGTTAATGTCTACAACTTTGGTAAGCATGAATGGCGCTAAGCTCAGGATCAGACTAAATGCAGGCTTTCACACTAAACGAAAATCCTGACAGCGCTAGATGATTGAGGCATAGCTTGCTCACTGGGATGTGGGTTGAGTATAGTGGCCAATGTGCACGTGATAGGGAACGATTCCATTATTCGTATAAAGCCCTGAAATTTAAGAAATGCGCCACAATGGACAATGATTAATGGTGAATAATGATCGGTTTTTGTTCTGCCCTGTTAGAAGCCAGTCGTGAATTAGTCCGAAATAAAATAGGGTCGTGCCCTCTTCACTGGTAGCATAAAGCTCCTCCTCGCTGACCTATTTCTACCCCTTTCACCTCCAAACTTTACAGTCTGCCTGACGGTGATATGTGTGTTTTTGAATTTGTGGCCCCAAAGCACAATTATGTATTATTATACAGAATAAATGTGAGCTTTTCAATCCGCATTTTATTTGACTAGCCTCTCTTTCTTGTTTCTAATCTGATAAACAGTTTTTTAGTATTTTACTATTGTTGGAAATGTTAAATCCCAGCAATCTTATAGTTATATGGCAGCTTTCTGTACTTCCGTTTTTAAGGTCAATGTAACCAGAGTAAAGTCCCTTATAATGCATATGGTAAGAGTCAAATGCGTAAACTGCAGCTAAAAGTCGATGTGCGGTGCTCAAGAAACATTGCAGACAAAAAAACCAGACTGTATGATTTACCTTATTTTGTTGAACGATTTGCCACCAGTCACCACATATTTGCTTAAAATACGACTTTTTTCTTGAACATTGATATAACATTGACAAATCCGTATATTGTGCTACAACCCGCGTAAGACATCAACCATTAGCAAAGAGCATAACCAACAAACATTATATTAAAGTGTAAATTTATAAAACAAACTTATGCACTAATAATAACACGGTTAAAACGATTCGTCTACACATTTAGCTTTTTTACGACAAGCTGGAAAAAACTGAATCACTATTGTTCGGAATTTGTCATTTAGCTATATTCCGATCATAATTTCAATTGAGAGCTATTCTTGACAGTTTTGAAACCAAACCATAATTGTCGGGCGAGTCTTTTCGTCTTGTTTAATGATCCTAAAAACGGCCTTTTAAAGTCAACTTATTAGCGACCTCTCAATTATCCAATTTAATATCTATTAGGCGAACATCAAAAGGCAGCTGCCACAAATCAGAGTCCCGTGACTATGGACGACTGGAGCATTTAAAAATATCACTTGTTATATTAAGGATTATGTAAGTCCGACCGAGTGACTTTTAGATGGTCAACCATTTCATAGACGGAACTGAATTCAGGACCTATGCATAAATAATCGGCCTTCTGGAGGCCTTAAATAATCTGCGGTGCCGACGTCTACAAAAAAATGGAGCATGTGATTGCATTATGGTCTTATCAGTTGTGCGCGTTCTTCCAACGTCTTTTAGTCCACAGTGTTTTTCATAAATCGAATACACCTGTAATCCAGCGAGTTGGATGTCTATTTCGCCTTTGTGCCAAATTTTGCATTTAAATTACACGGCTAATTGGCTCCAGTAGTCATTTTATTTTGCCCATATTGCATGGTTGTTCAATTCTGATTATATGTCATCTGGGCAGTTATGCATAGAAGGCAGACGGTCACATAAACTACATGCATACAATATCATCCATTTCGCTAAAAATACGGTGCAATTAGTATGATAAGACCGACCAGCAGCTCAAATGAGCACACATCACCGAGTTCCTAGAATTGTGTAATAAGACCTCCTTTAAATTCGACGGCCAAGTCTACGAGCAAAAGAAGTAGACACCTATGGGCTCGCCTTTGTCCGGATTAATTGCCGAAGCAGTTTCGCAGAGGCTCTAGCAACTGGTCTTCAGCTCGTGCCCCCGAAGTTCTCGGCCAGATACGTCGACGACACGTTCGTTGTAATCAAGAGGAGTGAGGTGAAGGATTTCAAGGCATTGTTAGACTCAATCTTTCCTGACATTCACTTTATTGTGAAAGAGGAAGTCAACAATCAGTTGTCCTTCCTGGACGTACAAGGTACGAAAATGACAGACGGGAAGATAAGGACAACGGTTGTCCGTAAGGCACTAAATACTAGACGCATCCTCCACTTCCGAAGCAACCACCATGTTGGTCATAACCTCGGTTGTTTCCGAACCCTGTTTCAACGTGTTCAAAAACACTGTATCGACGACAGTGGGGGAAGAGGTGAATTACTTACAGGACCTTTTTAAAGCCAACGGCTATCCGAAGTCCTGCACACGCAAGTGCCTCAAAAGCATCATTTTAAACGGTCGAGTGGAAAAAAGCCCAAGTTTCAGCTCGCTATACCCTATGTGAGGAACGTATCAGAGGCGACGGCGAAAATCCTGAAACCTTTTGGCATTGTCGTGGGGCATAAACCAGAATGCACCATCGGACAGCAAATCATGAAGCCCAAAGATCCGCTACCAACAACAGAACAGTCGGCCCTGGTCTACAACATCCATGCCTAAATTGAAATGCGAGGTATGCTGGTGAAACGGGCAAACGCCTCGGTATAAGATTATACGAACACCAACTTGCAATCAACCCCAAGGACAAGCTGTCCTTGGTCTATGGCCAAATACGAGAACTGAACCACGATTTTGCTTTTGAGAAAGCGAGAGTAATTGACCGAGCCAATGAGGAGATGGCCAGACTGGTGCTCGAAAGTTGGTCCTCGACTGGCACAATCAGCCAAACTATAGATCTATATCCCGCCTACCAGGCGCAGAGAACAAGGCTCGGGTCAGTCCGGACAGTACCATTAAGCAGGCGATCACGCGGCACCAAGAGTCGACGCTTCACGGAAAAGAGCGGAGTTGAGAGCCAGAAGTCATGTGACCAAATCCGAACACTGCCTCACCGATGCACCCGCGAAAATGAATGCTGCTCATACGCACAGCAACGACCGATCAGTTCACCGGCTGACGTGGAAGAGGTCACCCGGCACGTTGATTTGACCACAATCACGCTGACCCCAAAGGGAGCAAAGGTCAGGTCGGCCTGTCAGCGGTCAGCCCCGGGGAGGTCTAAGTCAGTCAGCGGCGAACAGACAGGTCACAGTTCGGACGTCGAGCACGGCTATAACACGAGGCAGGCGGCAAGACTGAACAGCCCAAGAACGGCAGGGGTAACAGGTACGCTACTCTGATTATGGAACCAAGGTTTAAGAAGTCGCCCTCTTCTTTATCGTCTTCTTCTTTTCTCGTCCTTATGGTTGCGAATAGTTACGACTGGTCGGACCGTTGCCTGAGCTATTAATTCTTTCATGATTTTGGCCATGCAGCTCACGTAAGCAAATTCCACCCGAAATTTACCGCAAAGGATTGGTCTGTCAGAAATAAATACGAAAGACCCTAAATAAGTGTGCGTATGCGGAACAGTTCGTTATGTAATGGATAAACAGGAAGAAACGTATTTGTGACGATGGTATATATTGCATGCAAAATCCGTCAACGTCTGTGAATTTCGCAAGGAGAAAATTTCAGACGCTAACTAGGTGAGGTTAAATTACATTGAGAGTTTATTGTTAAGAATGTATGGACCAAAGTGCGGAGAAACGTTAGAGTGATGAAACAAGCAAAAACCGGAAGAAAAACTCCAGCAGATCCGCGCCATAACTACGATGATTTGGTTTTGGTTTCTGGTGCGCAAGGAGGATCGATCTAAAAAACACCTTGTTAGACTTATGAATTTGAAACTTCAGCATACATCTTTGAAATAAACCGCCTTTGCATTTTCAAACGTCCTATTTTTGAACAGAAATTATGCGTTCGTTAAACTAGCCTTAAATGTTAAAGACACTTTTTTGCGATCTTCCGTGAGCAGAAATTGCGTTCTGTTTGAATAGTACTTTAAACCGCGCCAATTTGCAGCCACTACATAAAGCAAATTTTAAGGCTCAATTAAGACAGTAGTATCTTATTTCGGGGATATGTCATTCCCTAAAAATGACGCAAATAAGCTACCCAAATTCATTGGACCATGCCAGAGTTTCGTGTTACCTAGACAAACGTATACTCCGGCCTGTTAGGATGCAGCTTTCTCTTGGTTGCCAGCTAACATTTCCGATAACTGCATAAAAAACACTGACATACTGTCAAACTGTCTGCTGGATTGCTTTGAGTTTATAAAAGCATTTTTTATATCTGTCAACCGACGAATCGGTACTTTGAAAATTTCTGTGCGGTATGACAATTATGCATAGATTTGAGGCCAGAAGAACTATAACCTGAAATGCCTAATAAGTGTGTTTGGTAAAATTAGATTAAGGGTGCGCATCAGCCTAATTAACACATGCTTCTTCACAGTTGTACATGTGATTGTCAAGCTGATGGCGCCTTTCCGATTAAAAGAAGATCAAACTGACATTGTGTACTTGAGGAATGTTAAGTCATAAATATTAACTACCTTTTCTAAGTAAGGTGCAATCCACTTCCACCGAGGCAACATCTGATTGCGAAAAACGCCACAGAAGACCAGGTAGAAAGGTATTGCGGTTGCGGCCAGCATAAGATTTTCATACTCCCCAAGCACCAGAAGAGCGCATAGAACCAGTAATTCCACATTCCAGATCGCTGTGAAGACAATGAGTTGACGCCGCGGCATGCCGTCGAGGACGTTCCATTCAGACCAATATTTCCTTCTGCTAAAAGTAGCCGTTAGTATTTTTCGGAAATAAAGGCCTTTTAGTCCGAATATCCCGAGAAAGAGGAACAGACCCAGTAAGGCAGCCACGGGAATGTATTGAAGGATGTTACCAAGGAAGACGGATAAGGTAACTAGTATGCCAACAATTATGGTGTTTACTCGCGTTTCAACGAGATAAAGGACCCTAAAAACAAAAATTGGATCGCATCAGTTAGTTCTGCCTACTTAGGTTTTCACGTAACAAACGCTAGCTGTCCAACGTTCTTCTACTTGTAGCGTTCAACATCTTCCCAAGAATTGTGAATCCGCATGGCTTAACTTATAATTTACTAAGCAGAATCCAACTACTAATGTTATTAAAACATAGATTTTAACAAAAGTTTAGTTTTCGTTTGGCCATGGGTATTGTTATGTTTTTGGTGGGAAACATAATTGAAGACTTGACCAATAGCCAGGCATTCTGCGTAGCATCGGTCCACCTGTGGTACTTATTTAACTTTATAAATCCATGACTTTGAAAAATATTTTCCTTTTACTGGTGAGGCTTGTTGTCCTTAAACACATTAAAGTTTTCCATATCAGAGCCAACTATTTTGGAATTGTACCATCAATCTGGCACAATAAATTTCATTTGGACTTTATCTATCAATGCTGACTTTTACCTACAAATAACTGCCTACTCTAAATGACATAAGTAAGCACCAACTTATTTATTTCAATGCAGGTTTATTTTATACTATTAAATTTTATATTTTCTACCGATACTGTAACTACACATATATGATATATGGCATCTAATGAAATGTTTGTCGAGATTCTGAAGTGTATTTTCAATTCAAAAAGATTACGCAAGTAGATTTCAATATTAATCATCGTGCCGCATAATTCTGATATTTCTTGGAATATTACATCCACGGTTTGCAAATCTTTATTACAGTTACAAAAAATATGCTATATTTATTTTTGATTCATTTGAAACGTTTCTTGTCACCAACGATTTCATTGTTGAGGTTGAATTTGGTCTGTTATTGTGGTAATACTGCTTTTTTACAATTCTCCTTCAACATAATTGTCAAATAATGGTGAAATTAAATAGACTTCTTTTTGAAATATCCATGTAAAAGTATTTCCAAAACGATACATGGTCTTTTGCTAACTTTGGCGGTTTTCCTGGAGCAGGGTGAGGATCCACTTTGGCCAGAGCAACCATGTTTGCAATCGTCCGTATTGGTACGCCGGACATAATTGGCAGTCCAAGGAAAAGGGCCAGTAGGGGAAAAATAATAGTAGACAGTACATGGTCCACGACGATGGGACTTGGTTTCTTTGACAGTCCGCGAAGGGGCACAATGCTAGAAATGTTGAAATGTCTAGTTTTATGCACAATCAGACTGATAAGGACTGTTTAGGTAGAAAAGGGACTTAGACTATTCGCATGATGTACGAGTGCACATTATTTAGCGCATGTATGGGCATTTGGTCAGCATATTTGCAGTAGTTGTATGGCCCACTAACATAATTTATTACATGAGCAGCACCTGAATTTGCATTGCTTTGAGTATTTTATTTTCTGAGCGGAGAAACATGAGAATTGCTCAACGACAAATGACTCCAGGAAAAGCCAAACAAGATATCCTATATACATTGGAGGTGTTTTGACAAATTTTAAATAATTCATTTTGAACCAACTGTAAAAAACCTGATGCTTTGGTGGGATTAGGACTCACGACAGTAAGGAGAAGACCTTGGTGCAGCCAACGTTCTAACTTTGTGAGCTACGAGGCCCCACCGGACGACGCGAGTTTAATCCCATTTCGGTTACGTTTACCAGTCCAACCTACTGCAACGTTTAAAATCCACCAAATCTGATACAGTTAGCTGACTGCCCAAGTAGGATGGACGAAGCAATTCACCTTGAATTCACTAGATGACTGTTAGGCTTATGTAATTCATGGACGGTTTAACAGACTTTAAATAAGTCACGTTGATGGTTAGAGCTTTGGCGGTACTAAAGCATTCCCCTACTGTCATGGGTTCGAATCCCACTGAGGCACCGAGTTGTTCACAGTTGTGTCAAAGTGAATATCTTATATATGCGTATTAGAGCGCCTAACAGTAAAAGCATATGTATTTACCAGAGAGCACACGGAAAACGCTCGGCAACGTGTTCATCCTATAACTCGGTCGATGAGTCCCCCGCACCATAGTTAATAATTCCAATCACAGCCAAGAGGGCTACAAGCCCCAGGCTCATTGTTAGAATGTTTAGCCTCTTAACGTAGAACGTTTAAAAACCCGGAGTATTAATCGTTGGATTTATTCTGTGGTTGGACACACTGTACCAATGACTGCGACCAAGTCCAAAAGGCTCCAAATGACCTCCGTATCTTTGTCGTTATCTCTATCCAAAATATTCATATATATATATTGGAACGCAGGCATCCCAAGAAATATAATTTGAAATCAAATACGTTCTTTGGGAAAGAGAGAAAACTTTATTGAGTAAATTTTTCGACGTCGGTTCCCCGTGTCGTCGTCAGACACGGCTTGTACACCCTAAAGATAGGGTTGGCTATCTCAATAGAAAAGAAGCCGTTTATAAGATCCCATGCGATGGCTGTGATGCCGTATATTGTGGCCAAACGGGAAAATTTGCCTCTACACGCATCCACGAACATTAACTTGCAGTTAAGAGGCGAGACCACTTCTCTCAAATGGCCATGCACACTCTTGATACTGGGCACACTTTCGCATGGGACAAAACTCGCATCGTCGGAGTTTGCCCATCTAAAAAAGGCCGAGAGTTTCTTGAAGCCATGCACTCCGATGAGTCATGCATCAACAGGCATATCGAGTTAGATGCCACGTACGAAAATCTCAGAGAAAAGTGGAAGAGACGAAAGCTGATCAATGCGGACTAACACATACGACGGCAGGTTACTAGCTGAGGCACCAAATAAGTATTGATTTTGTAGCACGTTTGAAATGTTATTTGTTTTTTGCACATTTACACTAGTCTGAAGACGACACGGGGAACCGACGTCGAAAATTTACTCAATAAAGTTTTCTCTCTTTCCCAAAGAACGTACTTGATTTCAAATATATATATATATATATATATGTATGTCAAGTGAGCGTTGGATTCTCACTGCTGTGGTTAGGATCTCACTTGGTTCCATTCTGTCCGTCCGCCAGCTTGCTACTGGCGACAAAGAACGCTGTGTCATAGGACACATACCACATATAATATTGGCAGCTGTTGCGCTCTTAGCGAGCGGCCTATGTAATATAAATTTTAAAACAGACGTCCCAAGAATGATAGTTCGACAGAAATAAATTCTTTGAGAAATATAAGTTAGTTTAATTGCAAATTTTCGAATTCGGTTCCCCTTGTCGTCCCCAGACGTAAGGTAAATGTGCAAAACAGCTAACATTTAAACATGCCTAAAAATCGATTTTGCCCTGTCACTCTTGATGGCGTAATGTCCAGATTGGCCAATGCATTTTACACTTCTCCTTGAGGCTGTTATACACAGCATCCAATTATACGTGTCGGTAGATGCATGCGTTATCAGTGCAGATGGTCTCTAAAAATTTACGGCACTTCTTAGATGAGCAGACACCTACAATGCGAGTCCCGGTCCAGGCGACATCTTCTCTAGTTTCTAGCGTATGCATGGCAATTTGGGACAAGTATTCTCGTCTCTTTACGGCCAACTGCTGTTCGCGTATTCCTGTAGGAGCCGATTTATTAGTTTTGCCGCAGTATACCGCATTAGTCGTTGCATGGTATCTTAGAGACGACTTCCTTCTTATCTCAATAGCCAACCCTTTCCTTAGGGTTTACAAGCTGCTTAAGAAGTGTAGCCGTCGGCTTGTACGCCACATGTATTTGATGCCTCTTCAGGTGTCTTTCAACTAGTTCGGGCACATTCGTACTGTATGGCAGTGTTCGGCAGTTTTTCGATTTGGACGCCTGATCGGAACAATCTAGTTCTTTGTCTTTTCTTTTAAACTCCTGTCGTCTCATGCACCAGTGTACAAAATATCTAGGATACCTATTATGGGAAAACAGTTTGAACAATTGATTCAGTTCTGTTTAATGGGTTTCTTTGTCAGAGGAGTGTTTTCTTGCTCAGTTAAGAAGGCTGTTTTCGAAACTCCGTTTGTGAGAGATGGGATGATTTTCCTCGTAGTGTAGAAGAGTTTCCGCGTAGGTTTCCTTGCGGTAAACCGAAGTGTGAAATGTCCCGTCTGGTTTTCTCTGTACGAGGACATCAAGAAACGGGAGTTTGTTGTCAGCCTCTTTCTCGAGTGTGCATGTGATTCCTGGAAGTGTTGAGTTAATAATATTGTGGAGTATTTCTAATTGATCAGTTTTAACAATGACAAACGTGTCAATTACATATCTTACCCATAGTTTGGGGTTAACTAGTAGCAAGGTGATAGCCTCTTATTTCTACATCGTGATTTCTGCGATAAAACCAGATATGGGTGATCCGATAGGGGCTCCCTTCAGATGTTGGTAGTATTCCTGTGCAAGTGAAAAGTTTGTCTCTAGACAAAGGTCTAAGAGTTATTGCAAAGCAAACGCAGGAATATCCATGTCATAGTACTGGAGACTCTCCTCTGTAAATTTTCTTGCTAAATCCAGTGGTACTTATGTAAACAGACAAACGACACCAAAAAATACCATTATTTCATCTGCTGCGATTCTCAGTCCCTGTAGTTTGTCCAGAAACTCTGCTGAATTATTGATTGATGTTTCACAGTCCTTTCTTGACGGACAGAGTTTGTGGAAGAGACATTTAGAAATCTTCTAATAAGGTATACCTATTAACGATACTACCGGTCGCAGTGGTACTTCAGTTTTGTGAGCCTTAGGTAGTCCATAGATTTTAGGAATGGCTGGTTCATTTAGTCGTAAGTATTTGGCAATATCTTTTGATATTTGTTTTTTTTTTTCTTGGAAGATTTCTTGGGACTTTTTCAATGCGATAGACTGCGCTTTAGTAGGGCCCGTGGTAAGAGATTTGTATGTTGCTCTATCCTATATTCATGACAACATCTTTTTGGTATTGTCTGCTCTGTATAAAATCGTGGTTGATCCTCTTTTGTCCGCAGGAAATATGACAATGATTTTTCACTTTGTGTTGCTTTAGTGTCTTTTTTTCCTGGTGTGAAAGTACTAGAAAGGCGTTTCGGCTCATTAAGGCAGTTACAGTGCGATTCCGGATTGTGAAGCGTTCATCGTCTGTAAGATTTTCTGTTGATATTATAGACTGCTCATGAATACCTAATAATGTGTTTATGAAATGTGTGAACCCCAAGCCTCTTCGAACTTATGACGAAAATGCCCGATCTCCTGTAAGTCAGTTAAATTCAGTTAAATGATTCCGTCACCGATATTTGTTCAAAAAAACAAAAATATCATTTTGCCCTAGATGGTTTGGAATGCCAGGTAGGCGTTCCGAGACTGTTTTGCATACTTACTTCACATCTGAGGACGATTTGGGGAACCAGGTTCAAAAATTCACAATTAAACTTGTTTATCTTTCCCAAAGAACTTATTTCTTTCGACATATACATATAGATCAAGTCGGGTACGTTCGTTAAAATAAAAAAAATTTTGGGGTAAATATTCCACGCTAGTTCCCTAGGTTTTCGTCAGACCTGAGTAAATGCGCAACAACAAGCGTGCAGAAAAATCCATACTCCTTCGGTGTTTGTGCCAGTAGGCGACTGTCGTGTGCGTCATTTTTATTGATTGATCCTTGTCTTTTACATTTTGCCATGAACTTTCGTACACAGCATCCAACTCAATGTGCCCATTGAGGCGTGATTCATATGAGTGCATGGCTTCAAGAAACTCCCAGCCTTTTTGTTGGACAGGCAAACTTTGATGCTGCTAGTTTTGCTCTGTGTGAATGTGTGCTCAATATCGAGGGTGGCCCTAACTTATATTACTTGGGATGTCTGCCTTCCACGATGTACATTTGAGTGCATACCGTTCTTATTTTTTGGGAGCTATTTCTCTTGAACATTCGGTGGTTCTTACCGTTAGCGCCTATATCCCTAACTGAATATATTCATTTACGTTAGTCAAATTAATTGCATTCCTGAAATAGTGTCCTGTTTATTCAAATGCTGGCCGTTGCCCTGCCAAATACATTACACGGTAACCTCTGTCTAGGCGTACAAAAACATACCTGTTTAGTGCTATCTCGACAAAAATAAAAATTCCAAGAATGAAGCCGAAAATGACGGCGCGTCCCTGAACGTGAGTAGCTGAGAATGTGCCGTAGTTGGTCATCTGGGCAAGGTCCGGTATGTTAAACCAGGAGGAGTAATTGAGGTGATTTGCAGGGGTAATATGCAACCTGGCAATGTCGTAGGTCCAAAAGAAGATTCTGTTCACGGCGGCCATTGCAATAATCCCAAGCGGAACACTTAAAGCACCGATCCAATAACGCACCTTTTGGGATAGAGAATTGTCTTATTGTGAAAATGGAAAGGAAATATGCGTGTATTAGTAAATGTAGAAGCCCACAAATATGGGAGTACTTTCCCCAAGGCACTCAAATCGACGTAAATGGCACACACGTTTTAAGTCGAGTACCGTCAAAAAGCACCAAATTTCACAAATCCTGAAAAAATTTAATACACTTCTCAGCCTTCGGTTTTTAATTCACTTGTGTAGTTCAGTTAAATTTAATGACTGCACATAAATGCTTAATAATGTGTTTATGAAATTTGGGAGCCTCAACCCCCTTGGAACTTGTGAAGAAAATACGCGATCCCATGTAAGTCAAATTAATTCAATCAAATGATTCCGTCTCCGAGACTTGTTCAAAAATAAACCAAAAACATCATTTGCCCTAGATTGTTTGGAATGTCAGGTAAGCGTTCCGAGACTGTTATTACTGATTTTAAGTATTGAAAAGTTAACGGGCGAATATATATGTAGCTAAGCAATCAGGTTTCCAAAATGGGGGCAATAAGAGTATTATTGCTTGATCTACGATAACGTCCCTTCAGTGGTACAGAAGCAACATTGTCTATTTTGGAGAACAAAATGTGACGTACTTCTTCTCATGGACTGTGTACGTTCATAGGATCTACAACATAACTGCAACTGGTCCTGCTTAAATGGCTAACAACCTCATTATGGATCAAAATCCCTAAAATCACTTAGTTAGAGTGCAAAATAGGCACTTTCGGAATGAATTCTTTTTTATATTTTGCGATACTTAAAGGGTGCGTTTAGATCTTAAAATCAAAAACGAGGATTTATGAAAGTTGCATTATTTCAGTTTGTGGGATTGCCTTTCGCAGATTTGGAAAAACCCGATTACTTTGAGGAAGGTTTGTGACCGTTTGGCAAATTCAAACAAATAAGTAAAAATATATATTGATTTATTGAACTTCTTGCGCAACGGAAACGGAAATACTGCCGTATGTTTAAATCAATATGAGACCATGCGGCAACTAAGTGTCAAGTCTAATGCAAATTGTCGGCAGCGCATTTCCTGGTTGCCACGATGTTTTCTTTGGTCACTTATGGAAAGCTACTATTTCGCCTATGATTAGCGTCATGAAAATTTGAAATTTGCTATCTCCTCCACTTTGCAAAACATAAGTTTAACCTGGATCTGCAGGTAACACTTCGCAGAAATTATTTATATTTTGAAAAATGTACGAACTGGTATAGGTGTATGGCTGGTTTGACTGACATGAAATATGTGAGCGGCTGTCCTGTCAATGCGAATTAGTATAGGTGGTAAGAGGTAAATTATTAAATAAGCAATAGTTTGCTAAACAAGTTGTTTCGTCTTGTCTATTTTGCAAGTGGAACATGCCTTTATATACTTTCTTGGGGAACTACTTTTCTCTTCTCTGCTATTGCTTATGTCCTATCACTTTTCACTGAAAATACCTCTGGCTATGGCTACTCAAAATTTGATCACCAAAATTATACAATTTAAAAGTTTACATACCCGGCGTCCAAATAGGTGACTTTCTCTGAATTTTACAATTGTCACCAAAAAACAGACCATTAATAGGGCAATGAATACGTTCACGCCCGACTGTACTGCTTTACGCCAGACAAGTTCTGTCTCTGTGGTTAATGTTGTGTTCAACGATGGCAACGTTTTTGGAATGAACTGCGATATGTAAAAAAGAATTTTACCGAGCAAGTAGCCTAATGACTGAGAATTAGTCCGAGAATGCTAAGTTTTGAATCAAGGTTTTCCGAGTCAACCTAATCTTATTAACTAAGGCTATTAGCAATTAGATAAATTCGTCGTGAACAAACCGAACGTGATTTAACATTTAGTCTAATGCAGAAATTTTACAAGAAAGACATGCAAGTTCTTAATATAACACTATTGTGAAAGGGGGCCTTGCAGAATTCAGTTTAATACCCTCGAAATGGCGCATTTAATGTTGCCACCTGGATATGTTTACAAAAAATAATTGGCAGTGTATCATACTTTTACCGAGATTAAAAGAGCGCCATTTTATTCGTTGATAATCGTCCTGATGGTGATCGACCTATGAATGATCCTTTACTCCAGAGCATGCTCATGCAGCGCCAAACATTAAATGAACAGTATTTTTTTCAGAATTAATGAAACGCAATTTTTTCTATGGTCTGAAACGTCAGTGCATGGCAAAACTGACGCGGTTAAACAAACTCCGAGTACATATTACCGTACAGTTTTCAGTAAAAATGCTAGGCACTCATGGCTTATGCCGAACCGAGTGTACAGAAAGTGACCGATCTCGTGAAATATTGGCTGAAATTCTGAAATGGTCGCGGTTGTAATATTGATTATCTTGCGGCATACTCTTATAACATTTCGGACTCGGCAGGATGCCACCTTTTAAATGCTCTTCTTTTCAATCTCCTATAGAAAGTGTACTGGATAAAAAATGACTACTTATGTAGCATGCATTTTTCCCATTGATTTCCGATGGTCTTGCAAATTCAAATACATTTTATAGAAACCTTAAACAAATATATGCTTTTTTAATCAACCAATAGAGAATCGCGTCTTCTTTATATTTTATACTTAAGGAAGGAATATATTTATGTTTTGAAAAAGTTTCTCATCATGAGACTTTTTAAGACCGCGAAATGTCCATTCACATAGCATCGTGCCTGGCCGTTTACCACTGCTCCTGATGAAATGTACAACATGGTCCGAATCCATTGAAAAATTTTATGGACGTGGTTCTCTATTGATTGACTAAAAAAGCATACATTTGTTTATGGTTTCTATAAAATATATTTGAATTTGCAAGACCATCGGAAATCAATGGGAAGCATGCATGCTACATAAGTAGTCATTTTTTATCCAGTACACTTTCTATAGGAGATTGAAAAGAAAAGTATTTAAAAGGCGGCATCCTGCCGAGTCCGAAATGTTATAAGGGTATGCTCTAAGATAATCAATATTACAACCGCGATCAAGTTATCCATTTTAATCGAAAACGCATTTCAGAATTTCAACCAACATTTCATGAGATCGGTCACTCACTGTAAATCGGAATGGGATGGAACTTTATTGCCAAATGCAAACAGAAAATCCCAAAAATGTTGCACTAGCAGTGCATCTTATTGATAACGGTACTAAACGGTTAAAGACAATGCAGACATACCTACCCTGAGCAAAGAAAACATGGCTTTGATGATGAGAAAGCCGCAGATAAATGCAATAAATAGCTCTTCCATTGACTTCTTTGCACGTAGAGCCAGAGCGGAGGCGTTCAGGAACAATAAGACAATTCCCATGACAATCTCGTAAACTAGAACCCATGCTCGGAAGATAAAGTAATTCATCTTCAGTTCCTTCGCTTCCTGTGTAACGCATTATAAAATACTTGTCATTTTAGCGCCCCAAAAAGTGTTATTATGTCTAAACAACAAGTTGCATGACGTTTTGGCGGCGTACCGATGTTATCCTTCAGCAGTGTCGGGCAAGGACATGTTAATTATACAATTATTAATAGGTATCTTATTTGAAAAGTCAATCTGAGACTCGTAGTTCTACATTCATTCGTCAGTGCCTTTAATATAAATGATATTAAAAATGTCAAGCTCACTCCAATGCTTGCCCAAATCCCTAGTCTGCACACCTATTTTTATTATTTTAAGCAATAGCACACAGCGGTGGATGAGTAATATATCCGAAAAGCCTCATCAGCGGTCAATATGGGCAGATAAGAATAGTTTGGACAGAAGCAGCTGCTACGGAGATGTGATACAATGGCGGAATTTTATTATGATCTATATAAATATAGGTAAGACCTTTGCGGAAACCCTGAAAGAGAATCCGGCTTCTCTAATTAACCTGAGCGACTATACTCACAGGTCCTTGTACCGTGTGCCCTAGCGTCTTTTACACTAAAATTTACGCATAAACTAATCTAAAAATACAGCATAGTATTATGCAAATAAAAAGCGGTTTACCTAAACTGAAAACCCTAGGATAAGCTAGCTCCTTATTTCAAGCAGACCCAAGCTCAAGATTTGCAATTTAACAGCATCAATTTACACTGAGTCGGATGGTGAAGCGCAGTATCTTGTGGCCTAATAATTATCAAGGCGTATCAACGCCTTCAAGTGTTATTGTACGAGTCCCATAACGTTTAGTCTGAATATAGTTTACCTTAGTTTGAACTCATGTGAGGATTACTAATACTCCAGAATCTTCCTCATCTATCGTAATCATGATAGGCATGTCCTAACTGCACATCATGCAATTGAGCAACCACAGCGAGGGTTAAGTAGAATGAGAAGGTTCCAAGTTGCCGGTTTTCACAGATTCCCTGACAGTCCAGGAAGTAAGCCTCTCCGTGTAATTTACTGTTCCCTTGTTTGACTTAGTTTTCTCTCAATGCAGTGCTGATATGCGCACTTGTTTCTTGGCAGGTTTCGTTCCCTGTCACTAATGTGAAACTGTTCACTTACTAGTTTCGGAAGTCAGCTGTTCACAGTTAATTTGTTCTTACCCTCATACGGAACCACCAGGCTGTCGTTTGTCGTTCCATCACCTCACTTTCGAACATGTTATCAGCATTCACCGGACAGTTTCGACTCTTAAGGATTAAGCTGACGCCGTTGAATGTAAAGAAGGTCTTAAGACACAATTGTAGGAGCTCGATGATGTGTGCTTGTTTGAGATGATGGTCGGTCTCATCATACCTTTCCCGGAGAAAGCCATCAATGGTGTCGGTAGCCGGCGCGGGTGGGATGGAGGTAAATGATGAGATCATGTCAAGTGGCACCACCACCTCATCTGCCTCCACTTCTGGATGTTTGTTGCACGTCAAGAACTCTTCAGCCGACTTCACTGTCCACTCCGAATCCTTGGTAAGGAAACAAAGTCGCTGCTATAGCCACTTTGACAGCCCAAAGTTTGGGGCACCACGAAAGGAGACGATGGGGCGTAGCGGCACCCCCTGCTTGTAGACATTTGCTAGGCCGTAGAAGCGCGCCATCGCGGCATCACTGGCTTTTGCGGCCAACGCTTTCCTTCTCGTAAGGGCTCCCGCTTGCCGATCGTATTGTTTATGCTGTTTACGAGCTTTTTACACTCGCTGACGGTCGAGGACGCATAAGTTTCCTTGTCCATCAAGAGGTTGCCTAGTTTTGTGCAGTACTCAGCCTTATCCATGATGACAGTCAAGCGAGCACACACGAGCGGCCACATGCGAGAATTAAACCACGATTTGGCCTTTGAGAAAGCGAGGGTTATTGGTCGAGCTAATGAGAAGATGGCCAGACTGGTGCTCGAAAAATGGTACAGGACTGGCACACTCAACCGATCTCCATTTCGCCTACCGGGCGTTGCGTACAAGGCTCGGATCACTCCGGACAGGACCAGTAAGGCAAGCCAGCACGCGAGACCGAGAGTCCACGCTCATGGAAACGAGCGGAGTTGGGGGCAAGAGATCATGTGACCAAAGCCGAACAATGTCTCACCGATGCGCCCGCGAAGCTGAATGCCGACAGGAACAACAGGTACGCTACTCTGATGATAGACACGAGGAAGTTTCCGACACGTCCGTTTGAATACAATATGGTCCATGAATTCGCCTCTCTTCTTCGTCTTCTTCGGGAGATGATGAACGCGATATAATGCGAAATATATCTTTGCGTCTGGCTGACTCATTCAAACTTGATTCATGCTCTAGTTACTTGAGTCGACTTGTATTGTCGAACAGGAACGGATATTATGCCGGCCGGCTGATCCGAGGAAAGAGGCATGTTTTGGGGTACAGTAGAATAGAAGGTAATCTAAGAAGACAAATATGTGCCGCACGACTGTTGATTGTTAGTTTGCAAACGTAACCTTACGCGTCGCTTCAAATAGGCAGGAAATCGTTGTGAAGGAATAAATGCACTGGCTTTTGTTTCCCTACCCATTTTTCCAAAAAAAATCGTTAAAATAGGAAGCTATGAAGAGACAAATCTGGATACCCGTTGCAGCTGGTTTATGTATCTAAGCGACTTCGTTCTCGGTGTGACCTCATAGCTTAGAATAACTCGATTGTCTACTGGTTCCACCCGTAGTAGACATAAAAATAACTCATACTTCCGTCGCAGCTTCAGTCTAAAACCCCATTTAAGTTCTGTACGACAGGGTACTCGGTTTCGTAAACAATGGCTGTGGGCAGAAGAAAATGTTTTCCCCAACTAACACTAAAATCGTCGCTTTAACTGAAACCTAGTTCGCCCACGATCTCCGGGGGAAACTGCGCAAAAAATAGTCATTCATAGGACAGACGCCGACAAATGGAGAGGCTATCCCAATCGTTATTTCGAGACGCCCTTAACAAACAAGAATCATGGTTATTCAGATGCATGAGGGGACGTTCGTAATAAAATAACGTTTGATTGATGCGAATTCTCATATCCGAACTAAGCTGCTGGCGGATTTCTTTTCCGCAGGTTTACTGTCCGATATGAGTAAAACGAGGGCAACTGTCTAGCCCCATCGACCTTCTACTTGCAAGCAGAGGACGGGATACAGACCAGTTTATTGGTGGAGATGTCTTTTAAGATGCATTTTCAGATCTTAATGGATACGGTTTGTTTAAACCAAACGAGAAGCTAAAGGGACGGACAAGATTGGAAAATCTGGGAAGAACGATAAAGAGGAAACCGTGCAAGACTATCCCCAAATGGAGAACGTGGAGAAAATATTTAATTGCTGGCGGCGCAAACCCCTTCGGAACGCAATCCCGCCGTTTATGATCTTCACATTCTATAGATATCTCGCGCCTATAATAGGAACGGCACATAGAGACATGACTGATTGGCATTTGTAAAAAACCTAAACTGCCACAGCAGAGGACGGGCACCATAAAACCTAAATTATCCCTAAGTACTCTCGGATGGTTTTCACTGTCGAACCTGAACTGCCAACTAATGCCGACCGGTTAGTGCGGTAGAAGAGATGGCCCCCTACTTACTTAGATCTTTAAACCCAGCTTCTGATCCAAAGGCAGAAAATGTTGGCTGAATTACACAGACGTTGTAGTAATGGGATGCCGTTGGGAACGCAACACATAGCTGCCGAATTCCGGCAGTTTTAGCACTTACCATAAGTGATCGTAGCTGACACAGTAATTGTTTGATGGTTTGTATTTTAGCCGTTAAATGCAATATTTTTGTTCCCTGTGTTTGGTATAAACAAAATGCGTAATCAGAATGTAGCCTTTTAATAATGCCATTTGCAAACGCTGTTACACGCGAGCTCTTATTGTGTCTAATTGCTCTGTCCCCACGTGTTGATGGACCAAAATTTTGTGAACAACGATTTAGGAAGTTCTTGACTCAGGTGCCCTTTTCCACTCCTGACAACCAATCTGTGTCCCACGGAATAAATAACGTTTTTGTGGGAATGAGTTTCTGTTAGTTATGAGGAATTACGCTGACAGATCCTTCTAGCTGTAGCACTCCCGTATGAATGTGTCTTCAGGCAAGTTCTCTTTCATTTATGTGCAAATAATTTTATCCACAACATCAGGTCATGTCGTGGACAAAAACTACATCTTCAGTGTTTAAAGGCACGCGGAAAGACTGCTTAATCCGATTTAACAGGCAATTCTGAATTTTAGAACCCCGCATTGAGTGCAAATAAAGTTGGAATCCGCGAAACGAAGACCACTGTCGGTCAATGCAATAACAGCACATTTATCTCCCCCAAAACCGTCAAGGCTCCACGGCCTCTTTCATGCTCTCATATAAGACGACAGAGCCGACGCAGAGTCTTATTAGAAATCTGCTGCTTGTGTGCTATACGGCGCATCCTTGTGTGCCCGGAAGTAAAATGTACCCGGTAAAATTTCTAAAACGCTCGTCGACCAGCACCTGATACGCATATTTTTACTTTTGGGACAAGTACAAAAAGCAAACATACACACTAAAGGGAGTACAGTGATGCGTAACCAAGGTGGTTTAATTCATAGATGTTTTGACTGATTTTCAAAAATTCAAATTGACCCAACTGTGAAAAATGCGGCGCCTCGGTGGGATTCGAACCGACGCAGTAAGGGGAAGGCTTTCGCACAGCCAACGCTCTAACCCCTTGAGCTACGAGGACCCACCGAACGACTCGGGCAGTCAACTTACTGCATCAGATTTGCTGGAATCCAGACGTTGCAGTAGATTGGGTGGGTAAGTTGACCCAAATGTGATTAAACTCGCGTCGTCCGGCGGGACCTCTTAGCTCAAGTGGTTAGAGCGTTGGCTGTACTTAGGCCTTCCCCTTACGCGTAGGTTCGAACCCCATCGAGTTTTTCTCAGTTGGGTAAATAAAAAGGTGATTTAAGGAACGGCACTTTTGTAAGTAATCGAAAGGCGCAAACATTTGTAAACAGAAGGACAGAAGAACGATTATTTTGCAAATGGGAGCTTTGTCGCATATTTGCAACGAGTTTTGTTTGCGTATAATGCAATGTTTGTCGCGTGTAATTGAGAGGATTGACTTTTTAGAAACTCTTGTGATTCTTTAGTTCCGTTATTAACTCTAAAATCCGTTGACTTTTAATAAACTGACCTAAATACGAACAGTCTAGTTATTTAAAATTATGTCTAGCAAAATGCCTTTATTTTAGACTTTCCTTGATTTTACTCATTTTCAAGTGTGCGGCAAATATAGGATTATGTATGGTGATTCTTCCTCATGTCTGCTTTTATTTCATTATAAGCGGGGACAAATATTTCTTATAAAACAAAAAGATCACACTCACCCTTGCAATCATCTTTTCCATCAGAAACCCAGCCCCCGCGGGGCCAACAATGGCAACTGGTTGGCCTGCGAACATGCTATTCAGTACCGTTATAATGCCGCTTGTCAAGATACTATTAGACACTGTGTATGCCGGGTCCACGTGTGCTAAAAAGGAAATACAAGTTTTGAATATAAAAGAATGCACTGCGTACTTCAGAAACTTGATGACTTTTTTAAAGTATTTTAAAGCCTTTGAACATCAGTGTTCACTATTCTTCACGGCGACTTGGTTTTACGTTTTCCGTGAACAGACTTTGCAAACAAGACTTTGTGGTGAAAGTTTGTAAAAGGCTCTTGTTTATCTAGTGTGTACGATACCCGACCTGCCTCAAAAAATGTAAACGGAAATTTTGAACGAGTCTTCAGCTAGAAAGGATCGCGTGGGTAGAATTTCAGTTGTAGTGTTTGCTTTAGTAATTTTAAAATATTTTGACTTTAAGTTTTATCCAATGAATATGTAACTTTCTAGTTAAAAAGCCTGTACTTCTAAGATTTTTCAAGATCGTGAAGTTTCCAGCCATAGGGTATCATGTTTTTTAGTTTATTAATATCTCATATGAAGAAAACAATACGATGCGTATATGTATATATATATAATAAATTTATGAGACACATATTACTTCTTCATAACAGCGTACAAACATGTGTGATTTTGTCTACATGGCATATAAACAAAACCTAGTCAGAAACCGTAAGCGCGAATATAGTTGCCTTTGTTAAATCCTACTCATACCGCTTCTTCAAGTACAATAGGCGCAGTCGTAAGTCACCAGTTCAGGATTAACACTATAGCATCAAGATCACACCTAATAAGTTTCGTAAAGTTACATCAAGCGTCCCAGCAGGCCCATTCTTGATCTAGGTCTAAGAGCACAAGACGAAATCCTTGACATACATAAGATGTTCCGTTCAGTACTTGCCTGAGGCCTAAACGGCTCTAGTTACTGCTTTTTAACCTAGTATGTTCTTTGACATTTTGCATAAAATGTTGCCAAACTGCTATTGCGTGATTGCTGTTGTCAAAGAAATCCAGTTTTTGCAGACAAAAGCTGTCCCTGACTGAGGACAGTTGGAAGTAAAGTGTGATTTCCGACAGAAACAATTCTTACAATGTTTGGCAACGACTAATTTGAGATAGCCTGTAGATCGTGTCATGCAATGAATGGTGTTAAAGAGTGTTTTACAGGTGGAGCAACGCACGTGACGGAAAGAAGGAAGGCACAAAAGATAAATACATTTTTGCCGAAAGTCTTATCGTACGTTGTCATTTGGCAATGAAAGTTAGCGCAATAAGTAAAAAAATATACAAAAAGCAGTTTTCAAAAAATAACGGACTCTGAATAAAACGCCCATGATAAGTTTACATTTAACCAGGAGGGGGAGTAAATTTAAAACAACGGAAATTGTGAATAATAAGTGATGTTTATAGTCACACAGAATTTTACGATATTTTTTTAGATTTGACATCAGCTTGAGGGTCCTACATCCTTTTGTTATCCAATGTTAGCACACAGGTACTTATTGGCCACTTCCCAAAATGCTGTTGAGAATCTCTTGGTAAATAACCGATATCCAATTCGGAAATTAAAGATAAACGCGAAACTAAACGTTATTCGGACAGTTTTTGAGAAAACATTTGAAAAGATATAAGTTTCATTGTCACGTTGTTCTTAGATGGGCAACTAGAGAATGTCTGGTAAACAGTTGTTTCGAATTTTATTGCTTGCTAGAGTCACCAAATATACTTCTTCTGGATAGGACATTTTTTAAAAATGTGTTTTGCTCATCAGATTGATAGTTGAAAATTCGACACCTAGCCAAGCTTCACTCTTCTAAGAAAAAATCCACGTATGTACGCTTTGGAGCGCAAGCGTTTGTTGTGTTATGTTTTTCTTCTGGAATCAAGCGCAATTCTGCAGATTTTCTGACCATCAAAACATCAAAACGAAGTTGCCGTGTTCAAATGCAACAAACCCATTAGAGTGCCGAAAGTGATGGCGGCCGGAAAGATGACAAAATAGAGGGATACGATGCTTTTAAAAGTCACACTGGCATTGCCATTGACAAAAGCGTCCCTGAAATCACTCGGGTATCGCTTTATGAGAGTAACTAATCCAAGGGCGAGATCATGTAAGGGTGGACAGAGTTGGTGATAACACCTGCTCCTCAGAGATTTCGGCTTCCCGTTGCTGGAAGGTGATTCGGAAGTCGCAGACGTAACAGATGTTTCTGAAAAAGGTCACAAAAATTGAACAGGAATATTCAAATTGATTGTCAGTCAACAGGCATTCCCAGGTACGCAAAATTCAAAAGTAACTAAAAGCTTTTGTGACAGTAAGTTTAGCTATGACATCTTGTACGTGTCCAGCATGGGCATGTCTTCTGTTGTCGGTTGTTATTTGGAGATCCGAAACTGACTTCAGCAGTGGGATGGCTTTCGCTGCAGTAGCCTGCGACCCAAAAAGCACATATTGTATTCAGGCATCTTGTTCACCGAACCATTTTGGATTCATTTCTGTAATTTTTAAAACTTTAGATTTGCCAGCTGGGGGGCTCAATATCGGCGCTTGGATGAGTTACTTATCCTTTACTTAGCTTTGTCGCAAAGCAGTTTTCTGAAAAATTATCCACAGTTAGCAGCACTGGCGATCTGAACATGTACATCATAGCAGATTGTAACAACCCTCTGTAGTTTTCGTAACCTGCATTGCCTTATTTTAAAGTTCGCAAAGTTACAATTGTCGAACGTACATTGTACTATCGGAAAATATCCGGGAAAACTGTACCACAATTACTGCGACGTAAAAGTGGACATTTCCGGGAATACCATCACAAACCCGCCTCTCTTTATGTTAGGAAACGTTAAAGCCAAGAACTCTTAGTGCTCTAGCCGTTGCAAGGTGGTTAATTTTGCGAACCTTCTTCTATTTCCGTGTCTTCAAATGGATCGGATTCGACGAATGCTCTGACTCTTTGGCCGGATCCCCGCTCCTCACTTTGGACAGTCCAGTGCCCTAGTTGTTTCTTGCATGCAGCGTAAATGTCGTCGCTGTTGACAGCGCGCTCACACGCCTGGCAAAATGCCTTTTAATTAAAATAAGAGAAAATTAAAAGTTGCACCAATGTGATTATCAAAAGTCGGTTTGAAAAATAAATTAGGCCCTTCTTTTTAGGAGCTGTAATCTAAAAACCTGCTCTTTTAAACCTGTGGTCTTGGACTACTCGGACACCCAATATTATATCCAAATACAGTAGGCGGATTTAGGAAACAATTCAAACCCAAAATTGCGCTCTAAGGAGAAGATAATTTTCGCGATTACTTTCAGCCTATCCCATGAACGGGAGAAGCACTCGCACCTACTGGATGTGTTGCCAAATGCCTCATATTTTACAGAAATTAACGAATGAATCCACAATACAGTTGAATTTAGTGCGCCTATGCATACACAATGAACGTATGGCCTAGCCGCGAGTGAACGTCGATTAGGGAGCAAGTAGTACTGGTTCAGATTTCAAGGCGTAGACCTCGCTAATTGCAGGCTTTACACTCACCTTAAGCTGTATACTTAAACATCAAGAGGCCAGCTACATGTTGACACCTAAATAATGATGCTAATCTGTTTTTATACGGCAAGGAAACAGAGCATTTTAAATACTATTTTTGATCTCTGCTGATATGGAATTCTGTCGTATACTTAGACCGACTTGCTGTTCAAACCTGTGGAAAGCGATCAACAGAGCACACACAACTTAACGTGGAGGATTTTTGGCCACATTGTTTTTAATTTGTAAACTTTATACTTGTTGATAAGTGGATTACGCTATGACACATGTTGCTATAATCTTCTTCCCGGATATAATATGCGTACGCATAATGGACATAGAAATATTAGGAGATAAACATATTTATTGCATTCTCTAAAAACCCTTTCCAAAGTCGTTAATTGTATTCGTTTAAAACACTGCAATAAAAAGAAAACATGACGTTTCGTAATAGGTTCCAACGGTTTTAACATTACCGTCAAATGAAGGAAAGCCATTAGTTTTTAAAATGCATGTATTGGTCCTATAACAACTGTCCCGCCATTAAAATAATAAGTGGCTTTATTGAGATGCAAATATCATATATTTTTGGTAACTGAGAAGAGGAATCATAGCTATGGTCATTTAAATAGGAAGACTAGGAAACCCTCATCAAAATTAAAATGCCCTGCAAGCTTCCCCATGCAGATTTATCAAGGATGCTGATTTTTATTTAAATATGATCCATGTCAGAAAGGAATAATCTGCACGCGAAATCATCAAAATATCTAATTTAGCCAGAGCCATTACTCTAAACATCGTCAGAACATTTGATTCTCTATGTCATATTTTATTAAATTTGAACCAAAGACAAGGATAATCTAGATTCAGCTTTTTGCAATGTCCGTATACGTTTCTTCTAACTGCCACATTTAATCGAATTGATATGTCCGCTTTCCTATTTTCATACCCAACTTCTCTTCTCTCACGACATTAAACTTTGTGATCTAATATCAAGACAACGTATCTACTTTTTCGCATTTTTGAGAGGTTTACAAACATCATCTTATGTGTCCAAGAGTTGGTAATTTAGTGAAATGAAAATACTAGGGAGGACACAGTTTGCCTTGCATTCTTTCATCTCAGTTCAAAAGCTCTTCAATAATTATCACAACGTTTATTGTGCAGAATAAGTCAAAGAATTTATTTTAGCCAAGTTTCTTACTTTGCTTACTAGCAATATCCCAAATATGCGTCCGATTTGAACTGTTTCCCTTTCTAATTCCGCATATGGTGTAGTGGAAATGATGATGAATTCCAGAGGGCAGGTAACTTCAACTATGCCTCCTGGATCTATTGGCGTTTTAAGTCGCACAAACTGGAGGATGGGTTTTTCCGTTTCGGGAGTTAATCCGACAAGTATACTGCAGGATTTTGACCTGGGCGATAGACATCTAGTAAGGCTCTCGTTCACTAAAATCTGCAGTAGAAAGCGGCGACAGCGAAAAGCAAAAATAGAAGGAGGTATTGAAGTCAGCAACGAAAGTTTTTATTTTGTTATACAGATGGCGTACTTAAACATTTATTGTAAGTCTTGGTGATTATTTAACTGTGGAGGTGAACATTTTCGTTATCCAACCATAACTTTATTTTGTTTTTAGCAGTTTGTGAACCCGATTCGCAGCACGATATTTTAACGACTTTTTAAACGGCCACGTCACCTGTACTCATTCTTAACCCACCTCTGTCTTATCCGGATCATTTTGCTTGCTTAATTACATTAAGCTTCGTCTTTTCAGAACAGAGCTCTTTAACAGGCGATCACATGAATAATAAATGGGGTGAATTGGTCTTTATAATTTGGATGTTTAAACAGCTAGCTTTTCCTGACTTATCATGGCTGCAACCCATTTGTTCAACCTTCGCCAATCTCAGTTGATTATGCGATATACTGATTTGCTCGTGTTTAGTGTTTTGACAGAACCAATATGCACATCTTCATAGGGTTTTATAGTTTAGTCTGAGATGCTCAAGGTTTGCATGAAAGAATATTGGACAAAAAACAACGTTAACTCAAATATTGCAATGAACAAACATATACATTCTATTTCCCTATTTACAAAATATTGTTTTGTGACCTTCTATCACCTCATTTCTAAGCGGTGTTCTCGAGTGGCAGACCTTTGGTAAATCCATCAGGCTAACTGATTTGAGCTTGTTAAAACACCGTCTGCATTGTCGTTTCTATTTGGATATATTTAGATTTATCCACTTCGGTCTCCAACCGATATGCGGCCCCACATATTTTTGTAACCCTACTTGCATGCTTTCACAGATGCCTCAAAATGCTCTGAAGTTCGATTACGTTGGCTGCGTCGCAATCATTCCAGAGCGTTTTCTGCCCTTGCAGTTCTTCGACTACCGTCGGTTATACACCAAAAAGCATCACGTAATCACTTTCCCAATACAAAGGTTTCAATAAATGGCATGTTAAACAACAGTCGACAGTGCATTTTAGAGAAAAGTTTGGACGAAGAGTAAGCCTAAAGTCTTGTTGCCAAGAGATAGCTTCGTCCTGATTTTTTCTGTGAACAAATTACCAGTTTTTTAGAGACTTTTAAAACAAAATAAATTGAGTAATTATGCCCATACGAAAGAAAAGGACTCGCCAGAAAAAATAGAGTTGCACTTGTTGATCTTCAAGTTAACAGCACCAACAAGACCTGAGGCAAAATTATTTGTCTGAGGTGGGACCGTCGCACTAGACTGCTTGGAGGCACAGGCAGACAGATATGTAGACGTTCTTGGAAGCAGAGATCCGGGTGCAGTGATAGTTGAATGGCATGTCATGTAGGAGGGAGGGCGGGAGGCACTTATGTGTCGGCAGGGTTCTTTAAGGTCGAGCATGGACCAGCACCTATTGTTTTAAAGATCGGCACAAGTCAGTGTACCTTCCTAGCGCACCATGGTATCGACCGGACATTTTTAACAGACTAAGGGCACTTTAGCGCCGATTCGGGACGACAGAGATGACCCGTGTGCCTCGTCTCACAACCGCCTGCAAGTTTTTTCCGTAAACCTCTTCTCTCTCCCTACGACAGCATCCACCATGGCCAATCCCTGCCGTCCCCCACAGCACTGTACACCCACGAGCAGCTAAGCAGGCAGTGTGGGGCCTTTTCCCATTCAGAGAAATAATTTCTACGGTGCGACTGCATTTGTCATATTCTATTGTCTGCGACTTTCATATGTCTTAGACCCTATCTGCTTAAAATATATCTCATAACTTTCCCTGAACCTTTTTACTCTGTCCACCTGAATACCTGTGATAGCCTTCTTCGCCGAAATCTATCCAACACAATTTATATTAAACGGTATGTTATGTTACATCGTTCTCGGCCGCTACGTGACCGCAGGCCCTCGTAATGGGCATAAAGGCAAAAATAGCTGTTAGTGCTGTCATTATTGGACCAACAAGACTCGAGCAATTCCCCCGCCTGTTTGGCGCTGGATATGGTGAGAATCCCATTAGCGTTCGAATTGAAAGGACTGTCACATGGTATTCATTAGTGCGGATTCGAAGCCACCGGCTCGTGTGGTCTATGTAAACGCATGAGTAATTGGGGCAAGAGATGCGGTAAATGACACCAATTTGGTGATCTTTGGGAAAAGGGTTCGTTATTCTGAATACTATTGCGCACAAAACGAACATCGGCTTACTGGTAGAGCAGATGACAAGGTGGCTTAGTTGTCAAGTGATTACTGCAAAAATTCTTTGTACGTAAGCCGAGGAATCAAATATTTGCAGTGCTTCTTATATACTGGAGTTCAGGCCTTGCAGTTGCCTTCGGCAGTTGAAAGAGGTTTTTAACAAAACGTTTTGGGTTTTCTTTGGAAGGAATAACTTCAAAAGTAAACTTGTTCTTTCTTACACAGACATTCGATGCTACGGTATCGAAAGTCTTGATGGAAAATAGTTCAAAAACGGCTTTTGTAGGCTGCATGATGGATGATCTCAACACTAGAGTTTTTCTGTGCATGCTGACTGCGAGGCCGCCAGCTTTGTACACTTGCGTTGGGAGACAGCAGATGGTTTCCTGTTGCGTCTTAAAATATGTATTTTACGGCTCGGAAGTTACCATCAGACTGATGTTATTGTTCCAGTTCATAGTCTTTCCAGACACAGATGTCGCTTACGTAATAGGACCGCATTTTAGCTTGCGTTTCCACCACCGTTTTCGTCGATCTAAAACAATGCTTTCTGACCTATGAGGCTGGGGTGTTTCATCCCCGTCTGTTAATGTACTCGAGAATGCACAGGTGCTACCTTTACAGTGCGTGACCGATCTCATGAAATGTTGGCCGAAATTATAAAATTCGTTTTGCATTAGGAAGGAATACTTAGATGAGGTTGTAATATTGATTCGTGTGCGATATAATCCCATAGCATTTCGGACTCGCCAGGACGTCTGCTTATTAATGCACGCCTTCTTGACGTCCTGCAGAAACCGTATTCGGCAAAAACTGACTACTTATATAGCATTTATTTTTTCTGTGGATTTTCGGTGATCTTAGAAATTCAAATATGTTTTATAGAAAACGTGCACAACATAAGTTTTCCTTTACTCATTTGATAGAAAATAACACTGTCCTTGCATTTTATGCACGAAGAAAATGTTTATTTAGGTTTTAAAAAAAGTTTCCCAATGCCCGAATATTTTGAGCCTGATCTGTCATTGCATCAGTGTTCAGCGATTTCAGCCAACAAGTCGCATGCTTTCCGCGTAACGAAAATCACATATTCCTCTATGCCTTCAATAGTATAGCATATAGAGTTCATTAAATTTCGCAATGGGTCCGAACTGTGTTGCACATTTTACGAGGAGCAGTGGTAAACGGACATGCGCGGTCCTGTATGCATAGACATCGCATAGTCTTAGAAATTTCAAAATTAGAAACTTTTTTAAAACCTAAATAAACATTTTCTTCGTGCATAAAATGCAAAGACAGTGTTATTTTCTATCAAATGAGTAAAAGAAAACTTATTTTGTGCACGTTTTCTATAGAACATATTTGAATTTCTAAGACCATCGAAAACTCACAGGAAAAATGAATGCTACATAAGTAGTCATTTTTTTACCGAGTACTGTTTCTGCAGGAGGTCAAAAAGGAGTGCATTAAAAAGCCGTCGTCCTGGTGAGTCCGAAATTTTATGGGATTAGATCGTACGCGAAGCGATATTACAACCCTAACTAAGTAATCTTTTCTAATGGAAAACGAATTTTATAATTTCGGCCAACATTTCATGAGATCGTTCACGCACTGTAATCGGCCTCGAAAATCTAATTCCTTCTCGTTCCTATAAACGAACGTCGCATGTCTACGGTAGTTTTAACTTTTCCGAAATTACGATACATCCCGGGAAATAATCTTTTAGTCTATAAGTGTAAGATACAGTTATGCCAATGCTGCGCCTATGATGTTGTTAACTAGAATTGAACTCCCATACTTACCTCTGCCCTCCCTATGGACAGGTGCGCGCACGTACACCGCTGTGCCATTGGTCTCCGTGGGACGCTGCAACGGCTCATTTACCTTCACCCACCGTTATAACAACAGCTGTTAATCCATAGACGGCTGTGCTAAATCTCGTCGACGCGTCATTCATTCCCCCCCCCCCGCCGGATACGGCGTGTCAAACCTAAAAATTATGAAGCATCTCTTCGCCTCTGGCACCCATCACGACACAATTCACACCCCTCTCACGAGTGTCTGTACATTAGATGTGCTAACTCATGAAATGTTAACCAAAATTCTGAAACGCGTTTTCGTTTCGAAAGGATTACCTTAGTAGGGTTTTGAAATCAAACATCTTGCAGTTCACTTACCTTCCGTTGCTGGCTTTCGAAAGAACATCTTTCCGTTCGCATGCGAAAACAAAGTTTTGTAAAAATGACTACTTTTTGGCACTCATTTTTGGCATTGGTTTTCAATGCCCCTAAAATTCTATTATATTTCATGGAAATTATGTGTACAAATATTTGTTCTTCTGCTCATTCGGTACAAAATTACGTCTCCTTCCAAGTTCACACTCGAAGAAGGAGCAAAATTCGGTTTAAACAAAGTTCATAATTATGTGATTTCTTAAGAACATGAAATGGCCGTTCATAAAAGATCGTGTCTCTGCATTTACTAATGTTGTTTGTTAAGTGCTAAATTATATCAACCGCATATGATCTGTTTTGAATATTCTAATTAAGTGAATGGTTCTCCGTACGCGAAAAATACAAAGCTTGTTAGCTAGAAACACTGAACGCAAGTGTAACGGCAGGTCGGGTTTAAAGTTATTCGGGAATTAGAAAAGGTATTGTAAACAACGGTACACAATTTTTTTCGAGTATACAATTAAAAGAAGACGTAATTGCCTGTCTAATGTATAAAGGAGTGGATATTGTTATATATTCTTTACATGAAATATAATTAGATTTTTATGAGCATTGAAAATCAAGGAGAACGATGCATGCTAAATAAGGAGTCATTTTTTACAAAATGTGGTTTTACCATTTGGCCGGAAAGATGTTCGTTCGAATGACAGTATCCTGATGTAACTGAATTTGTACAGAATTGTTCTGCTAATTTTAAAACACTACTTATGTAGCCCTTCGAAACGAAAACGCATTTCATATTTTCGATCAGCGCTTTTCGGGTTAGCTTGCTTGATGTATATCTGTCTGCCCTTCAAACATTCTAGTGCAACAAAATCACTTCATGAAATGTATGTCTTCTTAACATACTACACTAAGAGTACGTATATTATTTTAAAGCTCAGGCACTTGTACCGCAAATGTCTGGTTGCCGGGTGACGTTGCTTTGAGGGTCCTCAGCTTTCCACGTGTGCTTTCAGGCAGACATTTCAGTTTAAAATTTCACATTTTCGATTTCTTTGGTCAGTAATCGCTTGCCTGAAGTTGATATCTTTAAACGAAGCTTTATGAAATCTGTGCGAAAGTCCATACAGATGTTTTATCTGAACTCCAGTATCTAACGCTGTATAACCGCGTAATATTTATAAACTTCTAACGGGCAGCCATCAGTATACATATCTTGCTTGATTTATCATACAGACAGCAAGGACGAATCATGTATCTGGGTTGCTGGCCAGTATCTATACTGCAATCAACACATATACACTACTGGCTGCCTGTTGCAGTTTATACGTTATATAGGGGTATACGGAGGTAGTAAGTGGACTTCGGCAGAAGTATTAACAAAACCCTTCGGACGAGGAATATGAAGCTTCATTCGAACTGCTATAATGATAAATACTTAAGGAAATTACAAAGCTGACGATGAATGTTATCTGAAGAACAGTCAGTGTAACAAGGTTGAAAATCCACATGACCATCCTTAATTTCCTAACGAGCCATTTCCTTTTATTATATCATCTCGGAATGAACATTAACTCAATGATTCAAGCATGCATGTCGATATGCAAATCATCCTGGTGAGTTGTTCACATCAAATACTGAACGAAAATTTAAAGGAAAAATCTTACTTCTTGGATCCGATTCCCGTCTTCTAAAATTCAAACATACATTAATGAGGCAGTTGTCAGTAATTCAACAAATTTTGGAGCTTTTTCATATCTGCCTCCCTAAAGTCTAAAGTGGCATGAATACGCGTTTTTGTAAACCTGGCATTAGCGTGCTTCTTAGTCATAGCGTATACTACTGACATTTTGTGTTGTAAAGCATGAGGTCAGGTTATAACTAACTGATGATCATAAATATATCTGATAAAAACCGAGAATTCCCGGCAATTTAATGTTCCTTATAAGTCCTACATGGCATATAATTCCTGACAAAAGGACGTTTGTATAAACTACAAAACTCTCGATTCCGCAGGTTGAGTTCTTACTCAGTCAGTCGATATACTTCTTGCATGAAGGCTATCTGGCTTTCACGGTGTCTGCGCTGGCCAGCGCTGAAAAAAGACTTACATATCTGCGCAGCCCGGAAAATTCTTCACTAGCTCCGAACAAAAATTGGCCAAATTTCGTTTATATAGGGGATGGTGGAGTTCATTTTCAGATATAAAATACTACTAACCTGACATTCTCCGGTGACTACCGCCCGATGACGGTAATTGCGGATGAAAGAATGGAATGGAATAACCACCGTTGGTGTCTTGTGTCTGAGCTGCGTCCAAATTTGTGGAGATGGGAGGCAAATGTTTAAATACCTCTCCTATGGTGGTACTGTCGGCCAGCTGGAAGACAAGGTCTGAGAAAAAATAAGGGGTTTGAACATGGATTCAGATTTCTGGCATATTGACTGGCAACAAAGAAGACTCCATTTCGTTGACAGTTGATTACGAAAATATACTGTTAGGATATTCAGTTTTATGACAATGTTTGCAGCAATAACCAAAAAGGTTACAAGCAGGCATGAGTGACCCCTGTCACCCATACAAAACATGTTTGCTTCAAGATGCAAACGGATCAGTGTGTGCCCATTCCAGAGAATTAAACACCCGATTTGCAACGACAGGTGGTGGCAAATGGCAAAACATTGATTAACTCTTCAGTTTGATGAAGCTTTTATAAGTCATCTCGTAGATCCCAGTGGCGGATCAGCTGCGTCACATCTGTGCGGGCATATTTGTGTTTTTGGTTCCAGCTTGTAGTCAGGGTTGTGACGCTGTCGTCCTCCTCTGATATGTATAAGTATACCGTGTTTATCATCCCCCGAGGAAGACGAAGAAGAGAAGGCAATGTCATGGACCAGATTGTCTGGTTCATGAAATCGCCTATTGATATATATGTTTGTATTGTGAAACACCAATCGAGAAGTTGGTAGATTTCCTTAACAAAATTACAAACTCGAAAGATAATAATGTCTTTTTGTGTCTTCTTTCTCACTCTTCACGTCCTTCCTCCGCATTTGGTCAGGCAATTCACAGAAGAACGCCCCCAGTCGTACGACCTGGATGTTCCTGCATCTGCCTTGCTACAGAATTTAGACCAGTGTCTTAAAACGAACTTTTAATTGGCACAGGATTTCTGCCAACAGTTGAAGATAGCCTATGTGGGAGCACATATATCCCGTTGTCCTGCAAATATCACGGCGAAAAAATTAGAGGTTATCGCCCTACCATTAAGTTACCCCAAATTATAAGCATATTATGTTTAGGACAACTTTTTGTTATTAGAAGAGATCGAACGAAAATGCTTTACATCACTTCTACCTTAAAACCCAGAAATCGCACTCATCCTCGACAAAGAAGTTCACAACAAACTCCAGCTTCTTAGTGTCTTCGTACAGAAAAAGACTGACTGAACATTCCAAATATCACTTCACCGCAAGAAAGTCTGTGCGGAAATTCTTTGTTATCACAAACGTAATCATCCTATTTCGTAAAAGTGGTGTTCTATGAACATCCTGCCTGATCGGGCAAAATCTCACTGCTCTGACAACGAAAGTCACCTAAGAGAACTGAATTATATGTTCAGATTGATTTGTGAATGGTTATTCTAGACGGTTTGTGCGTCGATGCTTAAGACAACAGGAAGTTAATGAAAAAGCCAATGTAATAGACTTTTCTGATCAGACGCCCAAAATAAAATAGCCGGCAGGCACTTCTGTATATTAACAGTGTGTCAAAACTCGTTTGAGGCATCCGAGAAGCCTCACATATTAGTGGAGCACAATCCGAAGATCAAATTACGCAACAAGCTTGTGTACCCTAAAGAGGTTTCTATAAAATAGCGCGTGAAACCTACGATGCTTTTTATTGTATACAAACTGGAAAATCTCCCTGTAAATGCATACATGAACATCAGTTGAAAAGCGAGACCACTTGTCCAAGTTGTCATGCGCACTCTGAACACTGAATGCAAGTTAACCTGTCAGAAGACTCGCACTATAGACATCTGTTCATTTAAGAAGGTCCGAGGGTTTTTAGAGACCATACCTTCTGACAACGCATGCATCGATCGACACATAGAATTTGACTCCGTGTACGGCAGTCTCAAGGAGAAATGGTGAAGCCATCAACCAAACAGAACGGGCGCTTACTGGCACGAATGACAAGGCAATATTGATCGTTATGCATGTCTGAATTTGAACCCTTTTGCCTCTTTGTCTGAATACACAATGGGGAACTAGAGTCAAAGATTTGCGAAATAAAGTTTGTCGCCTTTCCCGAAGTACTTTTCCCCGAATTATACTTCTTCAAATGCCAGGCTAAACACACGAAATTCCCTCTTCTCAAACAGTGTTATGGAAGTTTTGAATGCTCTGTCTACCGTCATTATTATGTTTATATCCGTCAGGGCCTTTAAAGGAAGTTGGATCGCTATAACGTTGCACGTCTGACCGATGGCTTGACGTTCGACGCATACACTTTATTATTGTGATAATGTTACTGTCTTTATTTCAGTAATGTTGTTTGCAAATACTGCTGTTCTGGGCGCCCTCACACGATAACATTCGTTTTGGCATCCGCAGAGAATTTGAACTCTACCACTCAGTTATCTACAGACTGACTACTGTGCAGCACTTAAGTATTGCCACTGTATTTAACACTTTGAATGTCTCCTTTACATTTACAGGTTTGGTGTTTCCGTTTGCAACTCTTTGATATGCTACCGTTACCTTCAACAAATATGGTGTTGAAAGGTGTGACACCTACATTTCCCCCAAAGAGAACCGAACTGAAAGTTCCCCAGTTTAAATATGCCCCTGTTTACCCCTTTGTGCTGGCATGCGCTGAACCAACTCGGGGCCTATATCGGATTCTGGCAGTCGCTATCGGAATGCGCACAGAAACAAATGCCAACATTCGGGGTGGCGTTCAGTGGAAACCCAGTTGCCGGCCTACGTCGCGTCCAGTGGGATCCCTAACGCCGACCTATTTTCTTCTTGGTTAAAATCTTAGTCATCTGTTGTGCGCACCAGGGGATGTGCGTGGTAGAGCGCCAAGTTGTAGGTTTCCGATGTGCCAGCCACCTGCGTCCACCCCCGCCTCCGATCTTCTACAATCTGTCTTCGCAACGGGTCCAGGGGAGGGGGGAGGAGAGAGTGTGGTATATGCAGCGCAATTTTACATTTGCTATAAACTGTATCAAGTCATCCTGCATAGCTGTCGAGCAGATGGCTGACATCGTCGGAAACGACGGTTGAACGTTTCTGCTGGAGCGCCCATGTCTGTTGACTCATCCGGGCGTCTAGAATATCGGAGCAGATGGTGTGAGTGAGACTGATGCAGCTCGGATCCAGTGTCCAAGTCCCTCATGCAAAACGACAGATTTTTCCCGACTTGGAAGACTGCCAACCAACGAGATAACTGGAGAAAACTCTCGACTGGGGGGTGAAGGAGAGAACTGCAGTGCGCCCTCTCGTGTGTGTGATCCGAGCACACTCCTCTTGAATCAAGCCTATGGTGTGTAGAGCCAGGGACGAGGAACTATATTTTGAGCTCCGACAGACTGTTTAGGTTTAACAGTTTCTGCGCCAACACCCACTATGGCTCGTCTTGGCATTGTCGTGCTGTCGAACTACGGTGGGCACGATAAAATACAGAGGTAGGTGCATTGACAATTTGCTTCATTATACCTGAACCCAGCCGCAGATCATTACCGGACCCACCTCGTGAAGCGCTGGGAGACCTCTTTTCTTGCGAAGACTGGACCATCAGGATATTACTGCGCTGTGCGGTACTATGCTATAATTTTATATTCTCACGGATGCAAGTTCGCTGGTACTACCGTGGCCTCTGTCGTGCGTTCGTGAGAAGGAAGAAAGCCTTTAGGCGGCAATACTTACATTTAATATTATCCTTGAAATTTTCGCTTCAATATACTGTTTCCGATGTTCATAGATATTTTGGCAGATTTTCAATAATTCATATTGACCCAACTGTGAAAAACTCGGCGCCTTGGTGGGATTCGAACAGTTAGGGGAAGGCTTTAGTACAGCCAACGCTCTAACCACTTGAGCTATGAGGCCCCACCGGACGACGCGAGTTTAATTCCATTTGAGTCAAGTTACCCGCCCAACCCACTGCAACGTCTGGAATCCATCAAATCTGGTGCAGTAAGTTGACTGCCCAGGCAGGATCTCCTGAGTAATTCACTTAGAATCCACCAGATGACTACCAGGCTCATGTAACTTGACCCAAATGTGCTTAAAGTCGCGTCGTCTGGCGGGGCCTCATAGCTCAAGTGGTTAGAGCGTCGGCTGTACTAAAGCCTTCCCCTTACTTCGCGGGTTCGAATCCCACCGAGGCGCCGAGTTTTTCATAGTTGGGTCAGTATGAAATATTTTCGATATGCCAGTCCAAATAAGGGAAGCTGTGTAGCCTAGCGTTTCTTAACAGTCGAGTCCGGAACTCGGAGGAGATAACAAGCGACATTGAACGTACGCTAAATAATTTCCTGCCCTGCGAAATTAAAATCAAACCTGCAATTTATACAACGTGGCGGATGCTTGGTAAGGCCGAATGTTGGAGTTCAAGACGAAGGATTAAATAAGGAATAAGACTGGACAAGAGCCGAAACACTTAGTTTATCATTCCGATCTTTCGAACTAGTGTAGGAGTATATTGTCAGAGCTAAGTGACAACAGAACAAACAACCTTTATACGAGGTGCTAGTCAATCTGCGCTCAAGCACACATGTCTCTAGATGTCTGCGCAGGGTAATGACTGACGGCGTCAGATCGATACGCTGATTGGCTTAGTTTTCATCCGAAACCGGGCTTCGACTAATTCTTGGCTTGTCTAGCTTCCGCCGTGAACACTTATCATAGCGCCTACGATTGTGAACTCGTGATCCGAAGTGAGCTCATTGAGTGATAACGCTCATCGAGCGGATTCAGACTCACTGCAGTATCCTCAAGGCAGAAGCACGCGGGGCCCAAAATCTTCACGAACAGTTTGTGCGGAATGGCTATCTGAGGGCGTTTGTTAACCAAAACCTGTGGTTGTCCTCCGTGGACCCTAGCATAAATACCACCGAGGACTCTTGAGAAGCGACTGAGCACATTCCTGCGGGAGTAAGTGTCGAAATTGCATACCGACCAACAGCTGCCATACGAAAAAAGGCCATGAAACTCCAAGATCGATTAATTGCCAAAGAGCACTCTGGGGCAGTTTATTACATTCCGTGCCTGGGTTGTCCTTGGAACTACATAGGACAAACTGACCGCATACTCGGATCTCATATAGAGGAGCATAAGGTAGCCGTGCAGCGGGGTGACGAATTATCAAAAGTGACTACTCACACCTTGCAAACAAATCAGGATTTCATCTTCTCAACCGCCAGAATAATCTTCCAGGCCGGAAGCCAGAGAGGTCAGTAAGTAATTAAAGTATGGACCCAGAATGAGAACACGATTAATCGACGTATCGATCTGGTGTCAACATCAATAACTCTACGTGGTCACATTCAGACATGTGTCACTGACCGTAGAACGGCTAATACGTCCCTGTACTTGCCACTGTCTTTGTTACTGCCATTACCGTTGATGACGGACTCCTGCACGAGTTCAAGAGTTTACAATAATCAACAAAGGGCTCGGATGCCCGACTAGTCTTCTTCCTTGCTCTTGCTATTCTACGATGAGATTTATATATGACTAGATTCCGCTGGACTCATGCTTGTTCCAACATCCTTTATGGAATGTTCAGCCTGTCCGAGAAAGAAGGGTGAGCATCGGACGAGTACTACGTCGGGTTTAACATGTTCACGTACCTGTTGTTAAGTTACCTTTCCAGCAATAACGAAGGAAACGCATACATGTATTAATTCTAGTTCCCAGCCGGTCTCAGACTTATTCAATACTTTACTATCATCGAAGTGAATAACATCTTATTCCTTCTGACAGGCATATTTTAAGATTAACACTTTGAAAATGTAAAATAAACATTTCAGTGGTCATCCAGACAGTTGATAAGATCTGTGGTTTTCTATCCGCCAATCAGCAAGAAAAAGGAATGCCGACGAACACACTCAAGGAACTATCACTTAGGTGCACATTAAATCTGCAGTTCCTTTTTACTAACCAACTCTATAGATAAATATACGGCGTTGCTATGAGCCCGCCTGTCGGTGCTTCTATTAGCCGACCTCATCATGGCCAAGTTGGAGAAATTTCAGCTAAGCTATCAAATCTAAAAGCTTAAACATTAAGGTCGCTACGTTCAGGATATCTTTGCTAGTCACCACAGAAACCGACGTTGCTGGGCTCTTGAATGTTGTAAATTGAGTACATCTGTCTATCAAATTCACGTTGGAGATGGAATCGGCCGATTTGCTTCCTTTCTTAGATGTCCTTCTAAACAGGCGATTTCACGGTAGTATCCGAAGGAGCGTCTATCGGAAGAAAACCTGTCTGGACAATAAACAAACTTTACTAGTTTCGTACCCGTCCAACAAAAACGACATCTAGTCAGGTGTTTGGCACGAAGGGCCTGAAAAAATAGTTCAACATATAGTATCGACGAGGAACATAGAAAATTCTAGGACTTGCTTTGCGAAAACAGGTATCCTGACAGGTTCATTTCAAGGAACATTGCAGAACGACCCACAAGACCCACCACAAGGACCGCCGAAAAGAAACCTATGTTCCTCAAAGTTCTTGTCCATGGAGATACTGCGAGTGAGCTTCTAAGAATACGCTTTGATCAAGCTGTCTCGAGAACCCTCCCAGCAGCAATGATTCGCATATCTCTCTCTACTAACCCTAATTTACGCGGAGAAGGCACGGATAGGCTGCCACCTCAGACCACCCCAATGTGCACGTAGTCATTCACATGATCCTGTCAAGCAGGCCATATCGGTCGTACGAGTCGGCGCCTTTCCAAAAAACTACGAGGGCACCTCTCCGCATTGCTAGCAAAAGGCAAAACTAGGAGAGCAGACAGCGCCATCCTTTTGCACGCAGTGGATTCAGGCCATCATGTAGATCCCACAGAAGCATTTCGTGTGATTTATAAGGTCCCCTCGATGTGCCCAAAGCTACTGGGCCAACGCCTGTTAACAACAGCAGGTTAGGAAAACCGACTGTACCCCGTTCCCATATAATTGTACCGGACTGAAGAGAAGTTATCGAAGGCAACGTTTGCACGCGGCTTTGTCTTCTAATTATTGCTATGGGAATTTTTACAGTTCTAATGTTTAAAAAGTTCCAGACGAGTAAGCCTAATAACCAGGCGACTCGATGGGAGGGAGTCATACAAGACAACTTTTCAGTGACTAGCATTCTCGTGGACTTGATAAAAGTATGACTTATCTGCCGATACTTCTTGCATAAAAAACCTATCCCTGTTTTATATGTGATATTGGAAGACAGAGCTGAGTACTTAGCTTCATGAAGTACGTTCGAGGAAGACTTGCACAGATGTCATACCAACTACCGTCCTATTCACGTTCTTCTTTTATGCTGATAACCAAGGACAATTCGTACATTAGATATTCTCGTTGAAGGGAATGTCCAGATGTCCAATGAAAGAAATAAGGAAGTCACGGTGTACGGAACTGATAATGAAAAGCAATGAAAGTACATTGGGCTAACTATGAAATTAAAGTTGCACAAAGGAATTACGGGGGAGGGGGGGGGCAAGAACATAATGCTAAATAACTTAGCATTAAACGTCCCCCTGAAACATTCCGGGGCATGACATTATATCAAAGTAGAAAGGAAAACTTCCAGCAACTATGGATTAATAGACAAAACAGGACCTTCTAGAGCAAATATTGTAGCTGCCCATACGTGATAAACTCACTGGACTTACACAAACTATCCTTACCTTTTTGGGGGCCGAAAGCGTGGATATGGATCCCCAAACTGCGGGTGGCCTTATGCTAAATTCCCCTGGAATACATATTTCCGTGTCCTAACACTAAATCCAACCCTCCAGTTCTGTAAAACGATCGGTGAGCGCCCCTCTACTATTGTATATTCGGCACCTGCTCCCTCTATCTGGACATCGGCCCCCGGCGTCTTTTCCCCATGGATCTTCATCGTTACTGATTAACTCTGTGTCATTCTTGGCAAAGACTTCCACGCCGCTTTCAATCCCCCGGTTGACTACCGTCAGTCCCGTTTATACGACAAGACCACCAACCTCACTATCCGGGGTATCTCTTCTTCTGAGGCTTCTCGTCAACTCGCAACCCTGGACCATGAACCCGAGAATTCATTTCGGCGACTCCTCTCCAAATATGCTGGCCTCACTCGTCCCAACTTCAGCACCGAACGACCCCACTGAACGACGTTATTCACCACATCCGGACTACTGGCCCTCCCGTGTTTTCTCGGCCCCGCCGTCTCTCGCCTTCACGTCTTGCTGCTGCAGAGGCTGAGTTCGAGCACATGCTTCAGATGGGCATCATCTGTCAGCTGAAAGCCCATGGGTTTCGTCCCTTCACATGGTCCCAGAGGCCGCCACTGGTGACTGGCGACCATGCGGTGATTGCAGGGCCCTAAGCAACGTTACTGTCATGCATCGCTGCCCTGGCTCACATGTTCAAGTTTTTACCGGTGCCCTTTTGGGCAACTCCGTGCTTTCGAAGATTGACCTAGTCTGTGCCCTACACCAAATTTTCATCACCCCAGAGGACGTCTTGAAGACGGCCGACACAACTCTCTTTAGCCTCTTTGAGTTCCTGCACATGCGTGCGGACTCCGAAGTGCTTCCCAGCCCTTCCAGAGGTTCACAGACAGAGTACTTCGCGACATACCATTTGTGTGCCCCAACTTGTTAATGATTACCTTCACCGCCGAAGAGCACATGGAGCCTATTGGAACGGGATTTCGACCGCCTTTCACTATTTGGCGTTGTTCCCAACCCGCCCAAGTGCATTTTCAGTGTGCCCTCCCTAGAATTTCTCGGTCACATGACCGACTCCCACGTCATGCATCCCCTTGCATTAAGGGTTGCGGCCATCCGTGATTTCCCTTCTTCATCTTCCAAACTTCAGCTAGAGCGATTTCTGGGCATGGTGAATTTCTACTGCCGGTCCCTCCCACACTGAGTCAACACCATCCTGCAGCTCACGAGCATCCTATCGAGCCCCAAGGGTTCGTTCGAGTCGTCCACAGATGTCCTGGCTGCTTTTGACAAGGTGAAGGCTGCACTGGCGGATGCCATCCTCCAGACGCAATTTTCTCCCGATGCTCCCATCTCCCTCCAGGTTGACGCCTCCAGTGTTGCCGCCAGCGCGGTTCTGCAACAGCACCTTGCAGCTCACATCCAACGCTTAGATTTTTTCCCCAGGAAGTTATCACCTACCGAGGCGCGCTATAGCACATCTGGACGGGAACTACTTGCTGTCTTCCTAGCCGTGAAACGCTTTCGGCATTTCCTTGAAGGCAGGGACTTCACTGTGTTCACGGATCATAAACCCCTTTCCTTCACTCTCAAGTCCACTTCTGACAAGTCCAGCCCCCGGGAAATTCGCCAACTGGACTACATCTTGCAGTTTACCTCAGGCATCTGCTACATCGATGGGTCACCAATGAGGTGGCTGACACACTGTCCAGGACCTTCATCGCACATCTTCAAATGTCACCCGGGATCGACCTAGCTGAGATGGCTACCGAACAACGCCGTTCGACTCTCCCTGTGACGAGGATGTTTCCAGACTCCAACTCCAGGACCTGCCAATGCCTACTAACAACGACACTATTCTATGCGACGTCTCCAACACCTCCCAACACCCCTTTCTGCCACCATCCCTCCGTCGCCAATTCTTCCTCTCCCTATACATTCTGTCTCACCCTGGGAATCGAGCTACCGACGAGATGATTACCGACCACCTCGTCTGACCTGTGATGCACAAGGACCTGAAAGCATGGACTCGGGCGTGTCTCGCCTGTCAACGGAATAAGGTCCAACGGCAAAACAAAGCTCTCATCGGCACTTTCCCCCCTCTGGATGCACGGTTCAGTCATGTCCACCTGGATATCGTGGGCCCCCCGTCCAAAGGCCGTTCCTATCTCCTTACCAGTGTGGATCGATTCATCGGTGGCCGGAAACCATCCCTCTGCCTGATGTCGCCGCTCCAACAGTCGTCAAGGCTTTCCTCAATCGTTGGGTTGCCATTTTCGGTGCTCCCTCTATGTTCACGACTGAACGCTATGCCCAGTGTGAATCTAACCTCTCCTAATCTCTTCTCCCCTTTTAGGCTGCACTCGCATCAGCACTACATCCTATCATCCGGTAGCAAGCGGGATGGTCGAGCGGTCTCACCGCCAGTTGAAGGCCTCTCTACGCGCCGCAGACGGTCCTGAGAACTGGTCGGACCACCCCCACTGGTCCCGTTGGGCATTCGCTCCCCCCTCAAGTCGGACCTTCACTGTTCCGCTGCTGAACTCGTGTTCGGTGTCACCGCCCGACTACCCGGTCAGATGATCCCGCCAACCCTGCGAATTATATCTTCTCCGACAATTTATCCGAACACTTTCTCCGGTTCCGCTCAGGCCATCGGTCTCCGAATCTTACCTCAAAAAAGACCTGGTGACATGCTCTCACGCCTACCTCCGATGTGATCAAGTCCGCCGGCCCCCGAATCATCCTACAACAGCCCCTACCTGATTATCTCCCACATGATAAAGACCTTCCGCATAAAACGTGTAACTTGCGAGGTCGTGAGCATGGACCGCCTCAAAGCCGCCGTCCCGGACACTCCTACAGATGAGCCCTGTGGTCCTATACCTCCTGCTACGTCTTCCCGATCCCCTATCTTCTTATCCCTCTTCTTACGTGTCCGCTGCCATTAACTGTAATTACCCCCTCATCAACCTCCAACACTGTAATCGCGAGCCATGCTTACACACCCTCCCACTTTGCCCCCTGTATATATCATCCGTAGTGGATCCCATGTTCATTTTCCTGACCGTTTGGTTACTCATGTTTTTTAGACATGAGCAATTCCCTCGGCGTTGCTACACACCGCTTTCGGTCTAGCCCGGGGGTACTGCGGTAGTCCGCCCCTCCTAGTTATCCGCTTGTCACTAACCTCGCGCGTCCCAGCAGCGACTCGGCAGGGAGCGTGAGCGGACAGCAGGGCATCGCGGCAAGGCACGAAAAGCAAGGTCGCGCGAGCTGTCGCACGCTTCACATCCCCCCCTGTCCTACCCTGTCCGCTTCTGACCCCAAATCGTAGACGGAAAGCAACAGCTATCATGTCAATGGAAAAACTACCAGCCTCACCTTTCTTGACTCGACGTTTGAAGTTATTTACTTCCGCATAGGTGAATTTAGGCACCTCCGGAGGTGCGAATTCGCCGACGGAATCGTCGAAGGCCTCCTCCATCTCCACCCAACGGTAGCGTTCACGCCAGTAGCGGCTCTGCCCATCTGCAGGTTCCTGCTGCGTTACCTGACTCCGCGGCACGCCATTGGTCAACTGGCAGAGCTCTATAAACATGCGGGCTGTTGGCCGCACAGTGTTTCCTCTTTCCTCGGTCATCACAAAGCTAAGATGCACAAAACATCAGTAAGGGAAATGGAGGGTGACTTTGTTTGGATGTTGTAATAGGTGTCTAGAAGGAGTCGGGAGGTTTGATAAGCTAGTGTCACCTATTTTGATGTTAACCTTGCTGCCTCTGGTTTCAGTAATCAGTGCCACCGTGAATGCATTAACTGTGTATCTGTCGGCGCCTTCTTTGCACAGCATCTGTTTTCAAACTCACACATGATTAAAAATTTCAACTCCCGAATTTTTTACCTGCAGTCGGCATGCACGCTAGTCACAAATGACCTTTTCGGTACTTTAAAAGTTCTCAATAAGCATAACGAGCCCCGCAATTTCTCCTAACATAGTCTATAACATCCGTTTTTGGAAAATGAGTATGTTTTATCAATATTTCTTCATGCTTCTGTCGTGAGTTGAATGAACGGACTTAGGTACACTTGTCAGCATGTCAATATGTTCCGCAAAATGCAAATAATTGTTTTTGCAGGAGTCCACTCGACAGTTAGTTGGTTACAATCTTACGACTTTTTGAAAGCCAAATGGTTCCATTTCAATGAGTAACAAGGGTTGGTTTTCGAAATCCTTATGGCTCTACTCTCAACAGCACATAATGAATGCCTTGCCATTTACCTCGTCGGTTTGCATGGCTATTCATAAGTCGCAAGTTCCATGGCAACAGCGCGAAAAACGTAAACATAGACCTAGTGTATGGTACTCTTGTGATTTCATAGGCAACGTCCAATATAATATCAGAATGCATCTCCGAATGGCTTCAACTCCGATAGCTCTGTCAGGTAAACAGATGTTACTGTTCTCGAAAATGCTGAAAATTCAGGCGTTTGTGTACTACCAGCCTCAATAATTCATCGAAACAATTGGAATCTAGCAAAAATTGGGCAAGGTTTGGTTCTACAATCCCCACTTATTTGATAACATATGATTAGCTTCCTAAAACAATTCTAGTTATCATTCCTAATTTAGCCACTCACTAGACTAGGAAGGGAAAGAGAGCGCAACAGAGCTCGAAGCACGCGCAGGGAAGCGAGTGAAGGTGACATGTACACACTTTCCGCCGCGACACAGCCACTTGCTGGATTAAGAGGATAAGGAGAACGCAATCAGAGCTGGAAGGTCACGAAGGGAACCGCGTGGTAATTCGCAGTGCATGGCCACTGTGGTTGAACCGACGGTGTTGTACTTGTACTTGATACAGCTGCGATCGTGCCTGATCTAGCCGGCCTCGATGATGTCCCGAACTGTACACCTCTCCACGCGTGACGATCCGCGACAGCAGATCTAGACAGCTCAACCCATTCCCTTCTCCAACGACGGAGACCGAATACCGAAGGTTCAAGAACCACCTCCTTGTCTTGACGGACAGTGTCGAACCAGGATTTGAACTGACCCCCTCTTTGACGCCTCCAATGGGGCAACAGTGAGATATGTACTGAAATGTCGTGAGAAGGGGCGTCACAATATCGGCCTCGCCTTGTCCGAACCTGCCGAGATCTGACGCAGGAATCCATCAGAAGTGAAGTCGTCGTCTACTGCGTGTCATGAGCAAGTAAATAAACCAACAGACACGAACTCGCACGGACTCAGGGCAGGCCGGTTAATGTGTGCCTTAAGGTCGTACGCTCTTCGGCGAGGTTTAGTTCTGCAGTCCCACTTGATTGATAGCGTATGGTTAGCTTACTAAAGCAATATTTGTTGGCATACCTAACGTAGCCACTCGCTGGATATCAGAATGCATCTCTAAATGGCTTCAACTCCGACAGCTCTGCTAGGTAAACAGATGTTACTGTTCTCGAAAATGCTGAAAATTCAGGCGTTTGTGTACTAACAGCCTCAATAATTCATCAAAACAATTGGAATCTAGCAAAAATGGGGCAAGGTTTGGTTCTGCAGTCCCCACTTAATTGATAACATATGATTAGCTTCGTAAAACAATTCTAGTTATCATACCTAATTTAGCCACTCGCTAGACTAGGACGGGAAAGAGGACGCAAGCAGAGCTCGAAGCACGCGCAGAGAAGCGCGTGAAGGTGGCATGTACACACTTTCCACCGCGACACAGCCACTTGCTGGATTAAGAGGATTAGGAGGGCGCAATCACAACTGGAAGGCCACAGGTGAAACCGCGTGGCAATTCGCAGTGCATGAACACCATAGTGAAACCGACTGTGTTCAACATCACTAGCAAGTCTACCTGACCGTTAGCTGGATTAGGATAATAAAGAGGGCGCAAGCAGGGCTCGAAGCATGCGCAGTGAAGCGCGTGTGAAGTGATACCTGATGTAAACTAGGATGGTGTATAAGCATGCCTGCCCCTGATTAAAGTGGTGAGGAGGGCTAAAACATGTGATATTTGTGAAGACAACGTACTCGTATCTGCTAAAATTGTTTTAGGAAGCTGAGCATATGGTATCAATGAAGTGAGGCTGCAGAACCAGACCTTGCCGAAAATTTCTCTTTTCCTTTCAATGACGGAGATGCTAGCCTAACAGATGAAGCTACTTTAAATTGTTGTACTGATGTCAGTATGCGCATTCTTGGAAACCTGCGGTAGACAACCGCTACTAAACCACAACATCACATCTTCCCTCACCGACATTAAACAACATAATCACCCACTGCAAGCATCCAACTGCCACCTCCCACGCAAGTGGGAAGTTTGCATCTCGACTCAGTCTCCATCCGGCTCCTATGCTGCTTGTGTGATCTGAGTCCGAGACTATCACGGTGCGTCAAGCACCGTGTCTTGGAAGGCTGCTGACCGACACCCCAACTCAGTCCACACAGTCGGCCCATATGCGTGAGTGTTTGTGAGGAGGTGTGAACTGGTGGGCCGAGAGCCAGGCTGTAAAGGCTTCTTACCAACGTGACCTACGGCATTTCCACGCATGTGAGACGCACGCCGGTCAACGCCCGTTGTGTGTGTGCTTGTGTTTGGGGGACTAGGTCGTGCCTATTGCGAGTGCAGACAAGGTTACTAGATATCTCAGCCACCACGTCCAATCCCCGTACCTGTCAACTGACCAGCTCGGGACGGGAATGGAAAGGGAGATTGAGATCGTCAACTCAGCATGTTCTTATCACTAGAAAAACTGTCTGACGCGCTTGAAGCTATCAAGGTGAGCGAAAAGCCGTGGCTTGGAGGGTTTTCAGTTGGTGGGATAACTTGGACCTCGCAGTCGGCCCAGTGTTGTGTGTTTCTGTGGATCGACCGACCGGTTGTCTAAGAATCAGGCTGCAATGGCTCCTTCGTAATGTGGCCTTTATGACCCTCCCACTTTATGGGATCCGGGCCAGGTGTGATGGCATGTCTAGGAGGGGTTTCGGCCCCGCCAGCCAATTCTGTTGTTTTGGTTAAAATTCTGGCCATTTGCTGTGTGGACCAGGGGGTGCAGAGTGAAACGCCAATGTGCGATCTCGACCATGCCATCCACATGCGCCCTCCTCCGCCTCCGGTCCTGTTCACTTTGTCTTGACGTCGGGTCCAGGTGGAGAAGGAGGAGGAGGAGGAGGAGGAGGAGGGAGTGCTGTGGATGCTGTGTAAGTCCACATCCACTATAAACTAAATTCCCGGGAACGTCACTGTGCTTGCTTCACCTTATTAAGGATCACACGTTGGCCATCGTCCAAAACGACCGTCATACTAGCCTGTGTTTGTGTACCGTGCGCAAGCGGTGGTTTTTTTTTGAATGGCAGCTACTGTGTCACCTTTGATTTGTCTCCAGTATAAGTATCAGAGGACTGCTCGAGAGCCATTCGTCTCGAATCTCTTATTACCATATGCCTGTGCACAACGAAAACGCTTAGAATTATTGCAGTGGGCTTGAATGATTACTGACCGACTGGGATTTGTAGCCCCATATAAGTCTTAAATCGGACCGCATTGGTTCATTCTCTACTAGGTCTTTATGACATCCTCCCACTTTGGTTAAGTATCTGCGATCTCCGTTGAGGACTGATTTCCGTGCTTGGAATAACTGACAGTCCGATGTGCGCATGAACGGTAACTTGTGAGAGAATTAGTTTATAATGATAGTATGCCTGTGTTGCAGCCATCGCACTCTCCTCTTCCTCCTGAGTCTCGTTTGTTTGCTATTAAGACAGATTCAGAAGGACCGAAAGTGGGTAGATAGCGGGGCTCGAGCCTGCACCTAGATGTACCACCACGATCGCCATTTGTTACATGTGTTATGGGCGAGCATCCCAATGACAAGTGGTGCACCCTGATTTGACCCTAATGTTGGTCTATCGTAGCCCAGCGTGACAGCAGCCAGCACGTGTATGTGATATTCGTAGACGACCTAAGCGTCCGCCATCCAATGTGCCTGCTCCGATCTTACCAAAACATCTCGCTCTTGTTGAACGGCTAAAGTGACGGCAATGCAGTGCACGTCTGCCATGCCGTTCCCACATTGCGGACAAACTGACGTGTTTATACGCGTATCTGTAAAAGTATATCGCGCAGCTCTTAATGGCCAAGAGCTTAGCATTTGCTCAAAATGTAACTTTTCAATTGTTAAGCATAATTTGAAGGGGGTTATGATCAACAACATAGGCATTTTTCTCCGTCACTTTTTGACACCTATCCAACAGCAAGGTTGACATTTATTCACACTCAGCGGTTAAGTACGTTACGCTATTCTAATTCCAAAAGAACTGAAAAAGTCGTCACTTATCGAGTAGATTTCTCAAACGCACCCCTTTCACGTACCAGTCAGTATCACGATAGCATAATTATTAATAGTTTGGCTAGAGTTAATAGAATTCAGCTGCTGAGTAGAGGTGCATATGTAACGCTTGGTGCTTATGAATGTTTATTTCCCCAATAAAGTATGAGAATGGCAGTAACAACTTAGTTTATAATCCTTTTACGGTCATGCATTTGCCCAATGAAATGATTACTGCCAAAACGCAACTTCACAAACATTTTACTCCTTACGGGGATTCAACTTTTTCACGCTGGAGGTTGAACATTTGGA